AATGACCTTCCTCGGTACTCGATCAAAAGCCTTTTCTAGATCCACAAAACACATGTACAATCTTCGTTTCTTCTTTCTATAATTCTCCTGCAACATTCTCGCCATGAACAACGCATCCACCGTTCCCCTACCAGGCATAAACCCACACTGCATTTCATTAACTGTCACCATACTTCTCAACCTCCTCTCAAGCACCCTCTCCACTACCTTCATTCCGTGCTCTAGTAATTTCACACCCCTGTATGACCCACAATCTCTCACATCTCCTTTGCCCTTATACAACGGCACCAACACACTGTGTCGCCAATCCTCAGGTATACCTTCATCATCAAACATACTGTTAGCAATTCTCATCATAACTTCAATTCCTATCACCCCACTCGCTTTAATATGTTCAGCCGCCACTTCCGAAACCCCTGTCGCCTTACCTAGTTTCATTTCTCTAACTGCTTTCTCTACTTCCTCCCTCGTCACCTTCTCTATAGGTCCGTGTGTGACCGCGGATTCCACATCTCCATCCCACTCATTCTCTTCATTCATCAACCTTTCCATATGAGCTTTCCACACCTGAGCTTTTTCCTCCTCATCTATGCACAACTTGCCAGATCCATCCCAAACACATCCATTCCCTATAACATCTTTCCTATCCCTCATTGACTGCTTTGCTACTTTGAACATTTTCCTCGAACTCACATCAGATTCCATTTCCTTCATTAACCTATCTGATGCTTTCGTCATTGCAGTTGCCACTGCCTGTTTTGCAACCTTCTTAGCCTTCCTATACTCAGACTCCGCTTCCTCCGTCATGTCCCTTCTCCATACCCTAAACCTCTCCTTCTTGTAATACCATTAGTATATTAATTTAATAAAAAGATATACACAGATCATGTGCTACACATGACAACTTTACACATGTGATAGTTGTTATGCTTTGCCTGTGTGCCTCACAGACAAATTGCTGGCATTTACTACAGACTGTGTTCACTTTTCAATCACTACTTCTAGGACAACAATAACATCTTTCTCTCTTGCGGCTTTTCTGAATTCCTGATGTTGATGGTATCCTTTGGTTTGCGTTGATACGCGCAACAGTTACCCAGACTGCCTCAATTGCTCGAACAATTGAAACTTGAATGCCAATTGAATTGCTTGCTCTTAGTAAAATATTGGGCTTTGTTAGTTCTTTGCCCAACGCCACATGGAACAAATACCTAGAATTTTTTTGGAATTATTCCAGTTTTGTTTTTTGAAATCCAAATTATAAAAGCATTTAAAGCTCCAATATTAACTTGTGACTTTAAAGAAAACATGGTGAATATTGGCAAAGGATCGGAGATGTCAGTTTGAATTATGCCAGAAGTGTGATCAATGGGATGGTTGCAAAATATATTGTCAATAGGGGAGACCGGGGCACATTGAACCAATTTTCATAATTTAACTTGTCGGACATATATTAATGCATTAAAACCTTTTGATGTAGGTCATTATTATGTAAAATTATGTCCTTTACGCATAGCAAAAATTCTATCGACTTCTAACAAGTATCTATGACATTAAAAAGATTTATTCGTAAGTCTGTCGTGTGGTTCAACTTACCCCGTTAGCGGGGTAAGTTGAACTAATATTGTTTAACACATTTCGATAATCAGTTTTATTGTTTTTAGTGAAATATTTTCAAATCTAAATATGTTATTTAAATCAAATTGATTTTTTGAATAGTGACAAGGACACAAAACTACAATTAACCAAGACATGAGTAACACAAAATAAAGTCCTCTGGGCAACAGCGTTCATGGAACCATTCTTTACAGGACGGACATTCCTTCCAATTTTTAAATGGAGGTACATTGGCCAGTATGCCACAGAGATGACAAGGTGTGTTGTCGTCACTCGTAATTATAGGAATGTTATTTTTACTTTTCTTTTGCTTCTCCGACACTTTAGCCGTCTTTCTCGAAATCTGCTGATTACGGTCAAATAAAATCTTCTTTTTCTTTTTAGTGATGGTCTTTGATTCACGAGCTCGTTGACGAGCTTCCAGCTCTGCTTTCACTGGTGTATCTGTCAAAATTTGAGTCTTGCCTTTTTTTCGATTTCCTGTACTTGTCTTTCGCGGTCCAGCTTTTTTGAATGGCCTGATCATCTCCGGCGTGACGTTAGATTTTTGCTGGTCTCTACATTTTATAAAAAAAAATTGTGAATTGTATATTGAAAAATAATATGAAAATATTAATAAAAAATGTAAATAATTTGTAATGGAAGGTATATACATTGGACTGATTTTCATTACAAATTTCACATTGACAGTTGAAGTTGCAGTTGCTTCAGAAGAAATTATACAATTCAGTTTCGGCTGACCTACGGTCAAGACAGTATCACGTTCTGGGTTATTGCTGAAATTAGTTTTAGTGCTGAAATTAGTTGTCGGGTTGAGATTGGCAGTTGAAACAATAGTGGATGCCACGGAACTGGTTTGTATCGTTGTTGGTGTTTCGTTGACGGTAGCAGGTCCACCATTTTGGCGCTCACTAATTTTTGAACACATTTCCAGATGGTCGGTCGTATATTATGGTGCATATTCATCATCCTGGAAAATATCGCGTTGAAAGGGATACACACCAGCTACCCTGAATTCTGAGCATATATTAACTGGTGTCTCAAAGGCCGTCCAAAGAAGTCCTGGTCGCAAACAATCGAGCAAGACATGAAAGCTCAAAATTTAAATGAAATGGATACAACTGATCGTCTAATTTGGCGCAAAAAGCTGATGGCAAAGAAAACAACGTCCTACCTCGGGAAACCGGGTCTCTGGACGCTAAACGAAGATTGATTAACTGGTGTTGCAGCTTGAGGAAAAGCCTTATTTACTATTTCTGGAATATCATATATTGTCATTAATTGGCCGGGATAGTTTTTCATCCAGGCATCCTGTGCTAATCCTACAAATTTTTTTAATGGCCCAAATACAGATCGATCATGTGGTTGGAGTTTGTGCGAGCAATGTGGAGGAAAACTAAGCATTATGACGCCGCTGTTTTTTCCGTAATCCAACACTGATATTGATACATGTGACTCATGATTGTCAAGTAGCAAAAGGATGGGATTCTCAACAGAACAACGTGCATGCTTGACTAGATGTTTTATAACTTCCAGAAAGTTAATTTCTGTCATCCAACCAGAAGGATGTGCTAATTCAAGAGATCCCGGTGGTCCACCACTAATAAAATGATCTTTGTAGTGAACTCTCGGGAACACAAATGCAGGTGGAATACTGTTCCCCAGTGCTTTAACTGCAACAGCCAAAGTAACCATTTGATCTCGTTCTTGCGAGACTATGGCTCCAACTTGCTTTACACCTTTTTGAGCAACAATTCTGCTAGGACGTTGCACAGTAGTAATTCCGGTTTCATCAATGTTGTAGATGGCCTCTGGTCCAAACACATAGCGCTCAAAAACTTTTGACAGGTTATCAAAAAATGCGGACACGTTCGATCTGTTGAAACTTATTACCCGAGCACTAGATGTCGATTCAGGTACTCTGATTGAGAAGTGTGAGTGTCTTTTTATGAATGCACTAAACCAATCAGCCCCAGCTTTTTCATCTATCTTCCAATTTCTTGGAACGACCTTGCCATTTGTGGTTGCAAATTGATATGTCAATATGCGGACTTCTCTTGGATTCAAACCATAGTACAACGCGGCAGCTTCCTTAATATATTTCTTTAATAAGCATTCTTCGTCATCAGTTGGTTGACTGACTATAACCAACTCTAAATGTTGACAACGCAGAATTCGGTGCATTATTCTATTTTTTGCAATATCTAATCAATGTCGCGTGGTCAATGTTATGTTTGCGGCTAATAGCCCGGAGACTCATTTTACCATCTAATACTTTTTTCACAGCAACTAGCATTATATCTGAAGAAGTGCTACCTCTGTTTGTAGTTCGCTGTCGAGATCTGACCATATTGAGTTAGTAATAGATCCTGTTTAAAAAACAATGTTTCAGTTGTTGACGTTATCGTTAATGCCATTTAAACTTTTAAAAATACAATTGCAATAAGAATAAAACTAAAAAAAAGAATAATTTTGAAGTAGAATAAGTACAATCATCACATATCGTGTGCATTGTTGTTGGGGGTACGTTGAACTATGGTTCAACGTACCCCCAACAACATGGTTCAATATGCCTCAATCATAGTGGTTTAAGTGTAGCCTCATTAACATGCTACAAAGGCGTCTAAAAAACTACGTACTGTTTTACCATATAAAAACACTGCAAAATATATATGGTAAAATTATTTACATTTATTGCAATTGTATTTTAAATAACAATAACCTCAATTTCTCAAAATTACTCGAAAGGAGCAAAATCATATACGTGACATTTACTCGAAAATTTGCAGACATAAACACGCGAAATTAACTCAGCTAGTTCGATTTGCATTAATAATTAGAAATATGAAACGCTTACCGATAGTTTTCTATAAATAAGCAAATTTACCTTCTTGGTTTAACATGCCCCGTGGTTCAACATGCCCCGGTCTCCCCTAAGTGATGATGATTTGGGAGTAACTCTCGTTGGCGTATCAATCAATGGAAAAAATAATAAGAATTTAATAAATTAATAAAATCAATATTATTCGCCTAGTGTATAAATAAATTTATTCGGAGGAAGTTTATTACAAAGACAGGATAGCGATTGAATAAATAGGTTAGGGCTAGTATCAGGAGGTCTATAAATTAAAATAATAATAATAATATTTATATTATTGCAAGTGATAATTTCTATGGAGAAAGATTAAAAATTAGTTTCATTCAAAGCAATGTCATCGCGTGGAATATGTATAAGTTATACAATCTTTTATACAAATTCTAACGCCACCGCCTGATTTACATATAAAAAAATAGCCAAGTAAAGAAATTAAAGAAAAAGAGTTATCATTCAGCCGCGTTTCACATAAACAAATTATAGAAAACTGAAAATTTAAGTTATCAATTATTAAAATATTTAAAAAATCTAATTTATTAATTATACTTTTACGATTTAAATGGAAAATGGAAAAACCCGAGATATCCACGGTGTAAGGGGATTGACTGGCGGAATGACAAGACAGTTGTTAGATAAGTTATTAAAAAATTGATAACCAGGATCAATAAAAGAAAATTAAGTTAAATTAGCCATTGTTAGATGAATAAACGATAGCGTTATTAACAGTTTGTTGATTTTGTCCGTTGAAAAAGCACCGTTCACATTGTTCGGCCAATTTTCTTCATTCATAACTATCAAAATCGCTTTCTAAAAACAAATTTCTAAAAGCTGCACTAGTTTTAATATTAGCATTTAAAGATGGTATAAAACAGATTTGGTCAGACGAATACATGATATGGCGGCTACATCAATTGACTTTAGATGATTAATGACTTCTTGCACATGTCGTGCACTGATCAAGTTTACTAGCGTATACAATTTTTTTACGCGGTTCCATTTTTATAGGCTTTAAATTTGTAGAGTTACTTGTCTGTTTTCCTATAACTTTTTTCATCTGTTCGATTTTTTGCTTGTGTTGAATATGTAAAGGAGCATCTGACTTGGCAACAACTAAAAGAAAAGTTCTTGGCTTTAGTAGGCTTTCTGCGCTGAACTAATTTGAAACTGTCATCATTTTGGTTATCTTTAGTTTGAGATTCATTTGTAACTCTGTCATCCCAGTAAAGTTTCACAACAGATGTTGGCGTGTTTAACGACCCGACATTCAAAACGGTATTTCTATTATCCTTGCATTCGCCGGTTAGTGCAGCGTTATAATGCATACTTGGAATTGCAGCACTTGACAACTTTCCAAGAATGGAACTCATTCATTTTGTCCAACATTTTAATATAGCCGTCATTTGAACAATCTGCGAAACTTTTCTTTTTTATCCTTTACAATAAATTCAAGTTCGGCTAGAAAATTTTTTGAAGAAACTAATTTCTCGTGAAAAAGAATACCAAAGCAAAATTTTGAAAACCAATTTCACCCAACTTTTGTAAATTTTCCAAAAAATACCATAAAACTTCCGAAACAAGTAACTTTTTCGACTCCAAGTTGTGTACATACATCTCATCATCTCATCACACCTGCGTTATTTTCTCTTATCATCTCATCAGGTCTGCGTTTTTTTCTGCTATCATCTTATCTTATGTTGCCACATAACACGCGATGTGTGCATCTTATGTCTTAATACCAGAGACACCTACAACGTAAGAAATGTATCTTTAATATTATTATCTGTAATATTGTTTTTGTCATGTGTGCAGTTTATTTGGCCAACAACACTCGAGATTTCCTCATCACTGTTCTTCAGTCCTTTTGCTACAAAACTACTTATGCATGTGTATAAGTACACACACACACACACACTACACAGATAAACACACCATAGACACACACACCATACACATACGCGCAAACATGCACACGCACTACACAGTCACACTCGTACACCGCACAGAACTACACATTCTCACTACAAAGATTCACACACACCACACAGGCGCACACACAGGCGCATATTGCAGAGACGCACGTACACACTACACAGACAGACGCGCTTACACTCACAGTCTGTTCGGACGTACGCACACTCACACGCCACACACCCATACAGACGCAAAACGCTACGACACTTAAGGACAGACTCACATGCGCTTGAAACAACCTCTCGTGAAAGATACTTTGTATTATCTCAGCATTCAAACCAGGCCATTTTAACTTCACAACAACACACGATAGAACAAGAAGCTCCAGCAGCACCAGAACCGAAAAAGTTCAAGAGTGGAGTAAGGAGGGGCAGCACTGTTCACGTGTTCGCAAGTGGGATGAACGAGATGTTCATCCAGAAAACGTTCGCATGTGCTGGCAACCTTGTTCACATCTCACATGATGCTAATAAGAAGTTTGTTGTTGTTGTTGTTGATGATGTTGTTGTTGATGATGATGTTGTTGATGTTGTTGTTGTTTTTGATGATGATGATGTTGTTGTTGATGTTGTTGTTGATGACGTAACTTGTGATTGTTTTAGATACTGATGTGTGTTGTTGTGCTGTTATTTGTTGTTTGTTTACTGTTCGTTGATGTTGATGTTGGTCGGTTGATTCTGTCAATAGAGTTGATTTGTTAATGTTGATCGCAAATTATGCAGCACCGCTTTTGTAACGTTTGAAAATGTCGCTTGTGCAGAGGAAGCAATCAATCAGGTTTGTATTGTATTGTATTTGTTGTTTGTTGTGCTTGTTGTTTGTATTTGTTGTTTGTATTTGTGGTTTGTATTTGTTTTGTATGTGCGTGTTGTTTGCGGTTTTTGTTTGTTTGTTGTTATTATGTTGTGAGTTGAGGTGCATTTTTGTTGCAGCGTGTTTCATCATGTTGTCCAGCTGTTCTTATTATATTCACTTTCTCGCATGTTGGTTGCATACTACACACAACACACACACACAAACACACACACACACACACTTGCATATATACATACACATGCACGAACACACACTTATGCATGCACTTACAGTTGAATGAGAAGACAGTTGAAGGTATAACATTGAAGGTGTCCATGGCTCGCAAACAACCCAACTTTGACTCCAACGCTGAACCACCGGCTGACTGGTCGGCTATTGGTCAGTTTTTTATGTTGTTGTTTGTTGTTGTTATCATGTTGTTATCATGTTGTTGTCATGTTGTTGTTGTTTTTATTGTTGTCATGTTGATGTGATCGTGTAAAATGTTGCGTCGTTTGAATGACGTGATTTATGGAGGGGGTTGGTGTTTTGTCACTTCATGATCATAGGTTAATGAGGCCATTTTTTTTTTGTTGGTTGTTTGGTTCATTTGTTTGTTGGTTCATTCGTTTGTTTGTTGGTTCATTTGTTTGTTTATTGGTTCATTTGATTGTTCGTGTGTTTGTTGGTTCATTTGATTGTTGATTCATTTTTTTTTTATTTGGAACAAAATATCTAATGAAATTTATGATGAATTACTTGTTTGGGAGAGATAAATTATTGTGTTTATGTCTTAATCCCGTGGTCGTTCTGTTATCACGTGATCATTTGATGGTATCACGTGATCATTTGATGATGATGAAATAACTTCAACTTCATCAACAACAACAACAATATCAAATATCAACACAACTTTAACAACATCATCAACATTATCATCAAAAACAACATCAACAACAACATCAACAACAACAACAATATCATCAACAACCACATCAACAACAACATCAACAACAACAACAACAATATCATCATCAACCACCACCACAGCACCACAAACAAATGATCGTCTTTCATTGCAGCTGCCAGCAGTTCGCAGAAGGGTTCGCACAAGGATTGCAGGAGTTTGGTTACATATGGAGATGAGATGTTTTAAGGAAGGCCGTCGTCATGATACCGATGATGATGAAGATGATGATTCTGGGGTCGTGATGATGATGATTTCGTGGTCATAATGATGGTGATGGTGATTGTATGGTTACAGTGGCGGATCTAGGGGCAGGAAGGGGGGGTATGGCCTGCCCTGTTGTATGCGATGACTGTGTGGATGATTTCTATTTCATCTAAAAAATGAATGATGATGAGGTAGTAGTGATGATCTCCATCTACAATTTTCAACCGACCATAAATAACCCTACAGTTTAAATTTTTTTACTTTGTACATAATTTTCCCTTTTTATTTTCTGAATAAAAAAAAACAGTTTCAACGTCTGCCTGCTTCTTCTCTTCTACCTTCAATCGGCGAATTAATTTTTTTATTTCGTTTTAAATGAATTTTGATTTCGTAGCGACACACATCGAGTATGCCACTTTTTACGCCATTCACGTTACTGAAAGTTCAAAAAATGTTTAAAGCAGTTGAGGAGTGGCGGGTGCAGGTGGAGCGAGCCTGGGGGGTTGCTTGGAGCACTATTTCAAGTACTCCTATACCTAAAAATTACATACCAGTGCAGTAATGTTATATTGAGAACTTGAACAACAATGAGAGATTATTTGAAATATAGAAAGGTATTTGTTCTCATTAATAAGCGTGCTCATGATTAAATACAATTATTGATTAAATTTTTATCAAATACTGTCTTTGAAACTTTATGCAGAAAACCGAAAACTGTAGAAATAAATTGATTTTATTGTATAAGGACACCAAAATATATACGTTTCATATGACTTGCAAAAATTTTGTTTGAAATCAAATCTGTTTAAAGCGCCATCAGCACTTCAGCTGAGGAGAGCCATTGAAAGTTTATAAAAAATAGAATTAACTTTGATGAGATATCATTTTTAAAAGTACGATGCTGACGAATTCTTCAAATTTTTATAATCTTATGCCAGCATTTGAAGGATAATTAATTTTGCTTATAAAAGTAATTTTTTTACTACGAATTGAGATGGGTGTAAGTAGGCAGATTAACATTTATCTTTAAAAGAAATTAATATTCAACGTATGAACATATATTAGACGCACGCACCCACACATTTAAATGTATATAATACGATACAGTCCTTACAAGTACATATCAACATCAAGAAAGCAATCGTTTGCTCAGAAGTTTCACCATCTGCATGAGCTCTGGTGCAGCTTATTATCATTTGTTTGTTTTTGTTGATTTTCATTTTGTTCGCGTAGTTTTTCGATTAATTATTTAGATTAATTATTAAAACTATTAATAAAATTAATTATTTTTTACGCTCCAATCGCGAAAAAGCTATTTTTAATATAGAGTCCGTTGACACCAATATAATAAATTATTTTTTCAGTAATTTTTACATTTTTTATTACAAGATCCACGCGAACAAGAACTTTTTGATATGTCCAGCAGATTTAAGCCAAAACCAACAGAAGTCAAAAGTCCAGATCCAGCCAAAGACGTCAAAAGTCCAGTTCCGGTTAGGGATACAAAAAATCCGATACTCACAAAAGATACCAAAACTGCAGCTCCCACCAAAGATACTAAAACCACAATTCCTTCAAAAGATACTAAACCCACACCTCCCACAAAAGATACTAAACCTACCACCCCTTCAAAAGATAGCAAAAGTACAGCGCCCACGAAGGATTTTAAAACGCCAGTACTTGCAAAAGATTTGAAAACCCCGAGTACAATGAAAGATTTGAAAAATGCAACTGCACCCAAAGACCAAAAACCTTCAAAAGATGAAAGAAATTCAAAATTTGATAAATACACGAAAGACGGCAAAGAGCAAAGGTGGAAAGAGCCCAAAGCCAACATCCACCAACTACGCACCAAGTTGACCATTGAACACCGAACGAATGGGCACCCGGAACATATCGATCCTGATGTATAAATTTCAAATTTCAAATTCATTTTTTCAATTTTGAATTTTGTAACATTTATTATTTATTATAGAAAAAAATTACAAATTAATTTTAAAACCATTATACATTTTAACAGCACGTCATTTAAATATTTTGGCATAAACAACTAAGGAACTAGTACCTAAAACCATTTTCAAAATTTTCGATGGCATGATGGCCTAGTGGGGCAGGTGGCCTGGTGCTGTTTCAAAGTGTGTGCACTGTGCAGTCACCGAATTCGAATTATGCAAAAAAATATATGTATGCTTTATTACAAAAATCTATGCACGAACATCTGTTCATAACAAAACTGCCATGAATCGACCAGGACTACATGACTCCGCCTAGCGAAAGATGCCGCTACAGGACCGACAAGTCTCCAACATTTCCTTACAACAGAAAAAAATTGTTGGACTTTCTTGAAAAAGTGGCGAAAGAAGATAAAGATTGGGAGGAAGAAAAACCTTACACAAAAGAAAAAAGAGGTTATTTTGTGTTGCTGGTTGCCTATATTTTGCTGGTATGCTACCGAAATGTGTAGTTTGTATTGTGCATTGCATTAACTAAATGTATACTAATTGTTACTTTACCATCTAAACGACTTTTGCAAAAAGGAAAAATATGGAAACCAAAGAAAGAAGAAAAAATAAAATTTCACGAAGACGAGAGCAAAGCCACAGAGTGGGATGAAATTTTGTTTAAGGCATCAGAAGCTGAACTTGTTGATTTGGCTGGTACCAATTTTTTTCCTCCTTGTTCATGGTTATAAACCCAAACTTTTTAAAATAAACACTTTTAGGAAAGATTTTATAAGTATAAAAAATATTTGAATCGTTTATTTAAACATTGTTGTTGGTTTGCATGTCAGCCATCCTCGGTTTCCATGGCATGCTCAACCAAGTGCAGTACCATCAGGCCTTCGTCGAAGGGAAACAAAGCAATGATGCTGCTGGATTCCAAAGTTTACACTTTTTCAATTACCATTTCAAATAATTTTTTCTTAATTTTATTCAAATTTTATTTCTGAAAGGTATTTTATGAATTATTCATAATTTAGCGATGAACAAACATTCAAACAACAGGCATCGCCAAGTATGCTGAATTCAAATTTTTCGAAGAAGACCCGCCAAACGAAGTAGACATTGAGGATGTCATTAAAAAACTTGAAGACAACGACAAAAAACTAACCGAACTAAATTTAAACAACGTAAAAGTTAGTAGGAAATTGTTCAACTCTAATGAAAGTAGCCTAATATGGTTTTAAAATACAACCATAATTTGATAAACGATTTTCTGAAGGATCTAACAATACCTGATTTGGTGGAGGTGGTGGCTGCATTGAAAAACAACACGCACCTGACGACACTGAGCATGGCCAACACACGAGCCACCGATAAAGTAATTAAGGTTACAAGGCTTGCTGAAGTTCATTTTATAATATCCGCAAGTCTTCTTAAGTCTTTTTACAAGTTCAAGATGTTCGCAAACGTTTTTCTAGTTTCAATTTTATTAATTGAAAACAAATTTTAACTTTAGATTCTAATATTTTATGGGTGTTAGTTTTTTAATTGCAGGCATTAATTCCAGTGCTGGAGACGAACAAGACGTTGAAGGTGGTAAACGTGGAGAGCAATTACATCAGTGGACAGGCCATCGTCCAACTTCTGAGCACCATCAACATCAACCAAGTCGTCGAAGAACTCAGAGTTTCTAATCAGGTTCTCACATCATTTTAATCTTTCGAGCATTTTTTATAAATTTCAACCAGTTTATTTATAGTATATTTTAATTAAACAAAAACTGCCAGTTTTGAAGTTTAAGTATGAAAAAACTTTATCTTGCATTAAATTACTCATTGAAGCATTTAATAACAATGTAGAATTATTATATTGTTCGGAAAGTAATTTCGTTTTTCCCAACATAAGATTTAATTGTATTTTTTCACAGTTTACTTCACACTTAAGTCGCATTGTCATTGATTTGTTTTGACAGCTGATATAGCAAGGCTTATGTGTGAATAAGTTCAATTGATTTTACGCAGTAGTTTTTGGTCGGTGCCTTTTGAAATATGAAGAGCAATAAGCAGCATTTTCGCCATATTTTACATTTTTACTATAGAAAAGGTAAAAATGCTGTTTAAGCCAGAAAGAAATTTATCGATGTGTATGGAGAAGATGTGTTGACAATATACAAGTGCCAGAACTGGTTTGCAAAACTTCGATCCGGCAATTTTGATATCGAAGATGCGCCACATTCTGGAAGGCCTGTTAAAACCGGCGAATAACAACACGTGAGAAGATTGGTGAGAGGTTAAATTTATCGAATTCAACTGTTTATGAACCTGATTAGAAACTCCGAGTTCTAAAAAAAGATGGCAAAAGTTGTTGGATCAGAATGGCCGATATATAATTTTATTAAATATTTATTTATTATGCGAAGATCGTTTTTCATTTTCACTACAAAAAAACGAAATTACTTCCTGAACAGCCCGAATTATTAATAATTTAATTAATATGAATTTAATAACAATTCAACAATAATTGTAAGTTTCCGTTTAATAATTTATTATAATATTATTTTTTTATATAATTTAATATTAATAATTACTAAGCATTTAATAACTAAATATAATTATTATTATACTGAAACTTACAATTATTATTGAATTATTGTTAAATTCATAATAATTAATAATAATTCGGGTTGTTCGGAAAGTAATTTCGTTTTTTTGTGGTGAAAACGAAAGATGATCTTCGTATAATGAATAAATATTTAATTAAATTGTTATTAAATATTAGTTTCAATCAAACCCTGAATTATTATTAAACTGAAAGTTACAATTGTTATATCTGTGTAAGTGTTCCCCGTCCCAGCGATAGAACAAATTCTTTTGAGGTAAGCTGCTCAAAACGCTTCAAAATCTGCGTTATTAACCATGGTTACAAAATTTAAAAATAAACACATGCCATTTGAGGAATTTTACAGGACTTACAGGACTTTGAAATGTAGCGTTTTCATAAACCTGAACCCAATAGCATTTAGATATTTTGGATCCCATAACTTAATTTTGAATTTAGTATTATATTTCAAAACCAACAACTTATCATTTATTTTTGCATCCATTAAAAGTTTGACCAACCAGCTAAGCAATCAATCCCAATATTTGTGTAGAGACCTTTAACATTGGGCGTGCAGAACGAAATGGAGATTGCTAAACTGGTGAAGATGAACGGAAGTCTTCTGAAATTCAACGTCTTCCTCAATATCGTGACAGCCCGCCTGCTTGTGCAGCGCTACGTTCAACGAAACATCGACAACAGTTAGTCCTTATCAATTTGTTGTTCTGCTCTTATTAAACTGAAAGTTACAATTGTTACATCTGTGTAAGTGTTCTCCGTCTCAGCGATAGAACAATTTCTTTTAAGGTAAGCTGCTCAAAACGCTTTAAAATCTGCGTTATTAAATTCTAAAAATAATCGCTTGTCATTTGAAGAAATCTACAGGACTTTGAAATATAGTGTTTTCATAAACCTGAACCCAATACCAAAATGTCGGTTGTCTTAAAAGTTATTATTTAAATGCTAGAATAATAAAACAAAGCCAACAGATTCGAACGAGATACTTTCTAAGACGCAAAGTTTAACCATTTCAGAGGAAGGGTAAATTAAAAGAGCGTGATATCAAGCAACGTACCGATGTAACGGCCTCTCAAAATACCTTTCTAAATATTTATTAACTGTACTCCTAAACCTCTGTTGGTGGATCTAACAAAAATCGTGTTATTCGAATTTGAAGTAAGTGAAGTGGAATCAACCCAGGCTTGGCATTCGAGAGGAACAACCTCAAAAAAACTTGTCGGATAATTCAAAAAAATTATCAATTTGTCTTGTTCGAAAGAGGATTTTTGTAATTGAATAATTAGTTTTTTAGATTTTTCAGGCAAATGCAAGCATAGTGTAATTTAACAATGTGTATCTGAAACGAAAATTGTTTTGAAACCATGCCCTTTAGAAAAAAACTTAAAATATTTTGGCACAACTTCATTTTGAAAAATGGTTGTCGCTTTCTAAACTATTACATAAGCAATAGAGAAATATATAAAATACTCTATCAGTCAGTCAATCAATTAATTCATTCAATCAATCCATCAATCAATCAATCAATCAATCAATCAATCAATCAATCAATCAATCAATCAATCAATCAATCAATCAATCAATCAATCAATCAATCAATCAATCAATCAATCAATCAACCAACCAACCAATCAACCAACTAACCAATTAATCAACTAATCAATCAATCAATCAACTAATCAATCAATCAATCAATGACACTTGCAACAGTCCGCAGGAAGCGTGTAGGCAAGGATTTGATCCTACCGATGGAGGACGAGAAGCCGTACTACCTGCAGGACCAACAGGAGAGCAAGTCGCGCGCCGCCGATGAAGTGGATGAAGATGATGTTTCCAGCGATGATTCAGACAGTGAGGAGGAAGAGGAGGAGTGAGGATTTGTTGAGTCGTCTCCATCAAATGAACATGCCAGAAAGTCATCATACCGGTCATTATCGAACTTTTGAACTTACCCCACTAATCCTGGTCACAAACTTTTTGATCAAAAATTCAAAACTATAAATTAAAAATTAAATATGTACATAATGGCAGATTTTTCACACAAAATAATTTGGTATTTACTAATTTGTAAATTTCACATTTTTGTTTCATGGAAAGTTGAAAAATTACAGCTTCTATGTGATCATATCATAATATTGGTATTCATAACATGAATATTAACATTAAATTTTTAATTCAGATGAATGCACTTAGTTGAAACCATTCTACTAATAAAAACTTTACTACTTCAGCGTTTTCATTAAACAATAAATTTTCAACGTAACCAAGTGGTGTGAGTGAAGTTTTTAAAATTATTATCCGAAATTGAGGGTTAATGCTGCTTAATGAAGGATATTTTCTTAGGTAGCAATTAACAGTAAATAGCAGGTTGAAACCATGAATTATATATATCTATGGTTGAAAAACCTTCCCAATCACATGCACCTTTCATGAAACACTAATAATAATAATAATAAATAAAGATAATGAGCATTTTGTATTTTCTAAGAACTGAGTCCTTCCTCCCCGAATCCCAAAATCATAGAAATTCATTATTCAAATGATTTCAACCTACAAGATAATACGCCTAAATGCATACAAGCCAGTGGAGAAAATACTTCAACCGTCTGTTAAATGAAACAAATCCCATCAATGTCAACTTTGACGATCCACCCATCGAAGGTCCGATTAAGACATCACTGTAGAGGAGCTTACAAAAGCTCTGAAAGCTATGAAGGATGGAAAGGCAGCAGGGCCCTATGGACTCACAAATGACATTATCAAAGCATCTGGTACTGCAGGTATCCAAACATTACTACAACTTAGCCGTGAAGTCTGGAGAAATTGCTCAATGCCGACTGAATGGAACTATAGTTTGACAGTTCCGCTATACAAAGGCAAAGGTGATCCATTGAATTGTTCATCATATCGGTGTATAGGTCTGTTAGAACACTCCATGAAAATTGTCGAGAAAATCATTGAGAGAAGATTAACGTCGTGCATCACAATCAGAAATTATCAATTTGGTTTCCTAGTGGGGAAATCAACAATTGATGCAATTCACATGCTTCGGCAACTGCAAGAGAAGTACCTCGCAAAGCATCAACAACTATCACACATTTTTGTAGACCTTGAAAAAGCATTTGATCGAGTTCCCCGTGAAGCAATCAGGTGGAGTCTGCGTCGACAACTCATTCCAGAATATCTTGTTCGACTTGTGATAGAAATGTATACGAATACTAAGACTCTCGTCAGCACAACGGTTGGAAACACAGATGCATTTGACATCGGCGTTGGAGTTCACTGAGGCTCGATTCTCAGTTCACTGTTATTTATAACTGTGATGGAAGAAATCACAAAACCGATACGCACTGGTGACATTTGGAATCTAATGTATGCTGATGATATCGTTTTAACAGCCACGTCAGAGCAGAATGCAGCACAGATGTTTAATGATTGGAACACCAGACTCGCCGATCATGGATTCAAAGTCAACATCAGCAAAACCAAAGCAATGAACACTGGTGAACCCATCCAATCCACAGCTACTGGACGATGGCCCTGTTCAGTTTGTAAAGCTGGTGTAGGTAACAATTCAATCAAGTGTCAGCAGTGTAACCAGTGGTGTCACAAACGTTGTTCAAAAATAATTGGTACTTTATCTAAAGTGTTAAATTTTATTTGTTCTGCTTGCATCAATCCACAACAACAAATTCGAAATAGCACTGTTTTTGAAGCCATCAAGGTAGAGAAAGTCACATCGTTTCAATATCTAGGAGATGTTCTGGATTGTACTGGAACAGCTGAAGCTGCCATTCGAGCACACATACGTGCAGCCTGGAATAAATGGCATCTCCTTGCCTCAATATTGATGCGGCGTGACATCCCACTACCATTACAATCAAGACTTAATAAATCTGTGATACGTCCGGTGTTGTTATATGGTGCAGAAACATGGCCAATGACAGCCAAACTGGAACAACAACTTCAACGAACCGACATGAAAATGCTCCGATTGATGCAACGAATTAGTCTGAAGGACCACATCAAATCTATCGAAATCTTGCGTCGTGCTGGTTTAGATGATATAAAGGACGAATGCCGGCAACACCGTCTGCGGTGATTTGGTCATGTCAAACGAAGTGAAAACAGTGCCATAACTTCTCTTGCAAATGTTGAAGTACCTGGCACACGTCCCAAAGGCCGTCCAAAGAAGTCCTGGTCGCAAACAATCGAGCAAGACATGAAGGCTTTAAATTTAAATAAAATGGATACAACTGATCGTCTAATTTGGCGCAAAAAGTTGATGGCAAAGAAAACAACGTCCTACCTCGGGAAACTGGGTCTCTGGACGCTAAACGAATATTGATTGAAATGATTTCAACCAGCCAACAAGGTTGGTTAGATTTCATAATAATTGCACTGCACACGTCATCTGCATCACCAGCGTTTTACGTTTCACATCTGCATCACCAGCGATTCACAAGTTAATGCTGAACATCACAAACCACGCATGTTTGTTGGCGTGGCAAAAAATGTTTGTTAAATTTTTAATCATTCGTCTACAATTGTTTTGGCAAATTTTTCTAAGTTTTTTTTACAAAAATAATTGCATTAAACTATCTTTAAAAGTCGGACTCGTCCATCAACCCAGCGTCAAGATGAATAAGTTCTTATAACCATCACCAACTTCACACAACTCCAAACTTCATCTCACGACGCCAAAAAGCCCAACAACACACTTCTCACGCCATCTCACGTGATTAAGGGAGCTATGGAATTGCAGTTTTTACACAAAGTAAATTATATTGCGATTGTCATTAGATCCTACTTAATAGGCCTACTTAATTACATTTCAGTTGGAAGGAAACATCAAAAACGATTGATACGAATAATCCCACCTCATAATCGTCCTTCCCACACAAATGTTGTCATGAAATTTTCAAATTGAGTGGCTAATCTTTATTTAGAGCCAATGTCTCATTAGCGATTACTTCAGGCGGTCGTTCGAATATTACGTTACACGAAAATACATTTCCTACACTTTACAACAACAATTTCAAACCACTCGTCTGTTCTGTAACAAATGTCAACACCCCTCTAATAGCACTCACTGACGAAATCTTTAATTTTCTTTCAAAACGATACGTAATACTCGAACGGCCTCCATCAATATTTACCAAATTTAACTTTTTCCAGCATGCTTTTTATTTTTTTTTGTTCTCAAATTTTTTTCAAAGTTTAAAAATAATTAGAAACAAATTAAATTTATTGTATTAACGCTCATTGTGTTGAAATTGATAGAAACGCTGATCACATTTTTTGCTGTTTCATCGGTTTCATCAAGAATCCATTTCTACTGGGACTCGTTATACTAAAATTAATTATATGACTGAAGCTTTTGATTGTCTTTCATTAAATTCAACTGTTTATCATTCAAACTGAAGGTTTGACCATCCATATATATATATATATATATATATATATATATATATATATATATATATATATATATATATATATATATATATATATATAGGTTTATATATATATATAATACCGAACAGAATAACGAAAGCTTTTTTGTTCTATCATGCATAAAATAAACAAAAATTTTGGTTTGGAACTAATGAAACTTGAAAATGATTTATGATCAACCGTTAGAAAAATCGAAAAGTTAAATTGGAAGTTAACTGACGCTGAACATGCTGTGATTTTCATCAATAATTGCATTTCTGACAGTCTTAATCTAATATATATATATATATTATATATATATATATATATATATATATATATATATATATATATATATATATATATGGGTTTGACACGCTACACCAATTTAGTTCACGTTTAGTTCACGTTAAGTTAACTGACGCTGAACATGCTGTGATTTTCATCAATAATTGCATTTCTGACAGTCTTAATCTAATATATATATATATTATATATATATATATATATAAATATATATATATATATATATGGGTTTGAAACGCTACACCAATTTAGTTTACGTTTAATATTTAACGATGTGTTTGATCAACCAACAAGAGAAAACGACGGCAGGTGTTGAGTGAACGAATTTTACTTTCAAAATATAAAATGTTTTTTTACTGTTCCAACTTTGTACATTTTCACTTCCTTAGCCTGAGTATTGAAGATTCTGCCGTAGCAATCCTTGTAGGCACATTTAATTTTTCTCGATATGAAGGTTGTAGGTTAGCGCTTTATTTCAAGTAGTTACTTTAAAAAAAATTCGATAACGGCCAATGGCGGATCTATGGGAGCCGGAGACACCGAACAGTTTTTAATAAGTCAGAAAAAGAACCGTTTTATGTGTAAATTCGACCAAAAATTGAACACGTGATAGGCGAAAAAAAAAGATCGTCAGCCACACTACCACAAATCTTGGCCTCTCCGTAAAAATGTTGGCTCCCCCCGTAAAAATTTAAACATTTCCAAATTGTTGGCCTCCCACAAAAGATGTATAGATCCGCTAGGTACTTCCGGAACTTTTTGATAGTTCTGCAGACACTGAGTGGACGACAAAGAATGACCCTGGGTACAATTGGACGGATCAAAGATTGATTGGTAACGTGGAGAAATCAGTAGCTGGATAGGATACAGCGGAAAGTCGCACTGCGTGAATTTGTCAAAAAAAATTCGACGGGATGAACCAACAAAAAATGCGCAGATCAAAAGTGAGGCACGCAACATCATCGATTCACAATCTGTTTAAACCGCGCAACAGAAAACACAAAAACGCAGCTCAAACTATGTCCAACAAATGACTACTCACTTTAAAAATTTGCGGTAAAAATAAATTTGAATGTCAAAACGTGAACGGTCCCATCCCTTAGTTGATCTGTTTTTATAGAATTTGGTAGACAACATTTAATTAAAATTAGAATTTTCAGAATCTTTACAAAGCAAAATAATTTAAAATTTTTGAAAATGTAATGAATTTACAATTACAGCCCTTTAAAATTCCAGGCCACAACAAAAGTTTCATCCAAAACTCAGGCAACAAGTGAAAAAAAATTTGGTTTGTGAAATCACTTGAATAAATGCACAAATATTTGTAAAACTTGAAAACAGTTAATGTGAAAAATAGATATTAGATATTAAAACAAAAAATCAAACAACATCACCACGTTAACCTATCAGCTAAAATACTTCGGTACAAAACCGTTATGTGAATAAGTAACAAGAGAACCACAAAAAAATCATCGACAATTCCTAAGAAGCCAAAGACCGATTCAGGCAGGATGTCGGAAGGAAGGAGGATGTAGAAGAGTGTGAGCAGGATGCAAACGAGGATCCTCACTCTGATGACCCACAGAAGTCCGCCGATCGTGAAAAAGTCATTAAAAAAGTGTCGAAGCAGGATTGGCAAGTCTTGCAAGTACTCGTAAACCTGAATAATTAATTTCAGACAAATTTTTAAATAAATAATACAATATTGAAGCAGAACTATATTGCTACAAATGCTGGAAACAAAGTATTTTAAGGAGACCATTGCAGCAACATTTTCAGACTAGAAAACAGCGGAGCATCTGATTACTAACACTCAGTTGTCCTGAGAACCTTCTGTTGTAAGAGGCCACACTGGAAACAACTTCCGTCTTCTCTGCAGAGGTGTCAGACGGGTCATGAGAGAAACAAAAGAGCAGTAGCGTCACCTTGTTAACACATTTTTCTATTTTTCTTATTATAAAATTTATCAAAAATTTCGTTAATTTATAGCCCAAATATTTGTTAAATCTTTGCTATATTTTGTAGTTAAAATTTGAATTAAGTTGATAATATGACATGTCTTTTTTAAAAAAATGATCACATTGCAGCAATTTGCAGAACTAAAATGGACATCATAAGAATTCACATTTGCATCGATCTGGTGAGGTGATTATGATGTATGTGGAGTATACGTTTCAGCCAGCACAAACAATCAGCAGAAAATGAGCCAACCCTCTGCCTGCAAGATGGACAGCTGACAGCACTGGTCCACCTGCCCATCCGCCAGTAAGTTATGAAACACTGACCTGCGTACGTACAAATGTTTCATGCATACAACTTTGCACATTCATGTCAACAAACAGCCTTCCAATGATTGCTATCTTTTCAACAATCCATCTTAATATTCCAATGATAGATTAAAAAAAACAGTAACAGTAAGCAATAGTGAAATGAATTTTCAAATCAGAAAATTCAAACCATAGTGAAAATAAAATGAACAAAAAGTTGACATTGCCAAATGAATTGAAACTTTCATTCCACTGAAATATGGACTGGACCAACCGCAAAAGATGTGTCCACAGTTTGTTTCGAGCGGGTATGATGTCGGTCCAAGGCAGATTGGACAGACCATGTTTGAATCAATTTGAGTGAAAGAAGCTGTTTGACTGTCACTACCAGCTGCTGAGTTTGAATTTGTGGACAACTCCATTCGCACATCGTTCACCAAACTGATGCTCTGCTCGTGAATGGCTGGTGGTGAAGCATGAAACCTGTCAAACATCATCACCACCTTTCATTTGTTCATATTATTATCATCATTAATATCATTTTTGTTATTATTAACACTTCTATTTTTATCATCTTCAATGAGCAAATCTCTCGATCATCTTTACATTAAACTCTCCTTTCATGTAGCTATTATTAATTATTATTATCCTCAACACTTTTATCATAGTCATCATCAGACACTCCACACAATTTTGACCATGAACACCATAGAAGACCTGTAAGAATCAATAAATGAACACCACCAACCATTATAAACAACAAATGAACACCATCAAACCAACATCAGTAAGAACCAACAAATGAACACCAACAAGACAAATGAAAAACAACAAATGCAAACCAATATCTATAGAGAATGTAGCTCGAAATGAATAAAACGGCAATGGTGAATAATAAGGTAAAAGCATTAACAACATCGTCACCAATGCCCTCCATCTGTATCCTGGCAAACATTAATGTGGTAGTAAGCAAAATGCATTATCACACATACAAATTTATGAAAATAATTTAATGAGTCAATAATTTTAAAATTATGATAATAATCATAGAACCTCAATTATGGATGATTTTAAAAGAAATCATATCTCTAGACAAGATGAAAAGAAAAACAGATAACTAAGACAAATTTTTATTAATTTTGAATTTCTGACTCATCCAATCCTTACCAAAAATCAATTTAAACATAAAATTCAAGATTATATATTATTAAAAATTTGTAATGATTAAAAAAATGTTGTGGAAAATCTGAATTTTTTTTATGCAAATAAAATCATGTTTCATCATTTCATTTTCAATCATTATTAAAAATTTAAATATTTATTAAAACTGCAATGTATCTAACTTATTACTTAACTAATTAAATATTTTGTATTCATATAGAATAGAATATAGAATATTCAATACTGACTAAGTGTATTGTAAATACTATACATACTGTATGTATTTATGTATGTGTATAGTATAGTAGTCAAGTTTATACTCATACATATTGTTTTATGTGTTGTCATTATGATTATAATTATATGTTAGGTAAGATAACAAATTAAAAAACTGCTAGCTAACAAATAATAAATAAGTCTTAAGACTGAACAGCAGAGAGAAGAGAAGTTCTGACACGAAAACCCCTTAAAAGGCTTAATTAATTAAACTTAACTGTTAACTTAATTAACAGATAAATTTACACACTACAATTGAAAGAAAATTTTACAAGGAAAATATTACCTGACGATAAAAAAAATATGCCGGTGTATAACTAAAAATTACCGTTATTAAAGCTTGAAAAAGACGAGGACGATTACAAAACAGACGAAAAATATTTGAATCTTACAAACGGATCGAGGCAGCTAACAATTTTATTTCAAAGAATGAAGTAGACGACAAAGTTGTGTACTTTTTCATCATCAAATGGATTCATGGCAGACCAATAAGAACGAGTAAAATAAATAAATCAGCATTCTAATAAAAGAATAAGGAATTACAGACTGGTTTTGTCTTAGAGCAAAAAAATTAATTGCAAATTAAATGTTGTTTGTTTATATAATAAAAATATTGTCCGGTCAGAGTAAAATTTATGTTCTATACTGCAGTTAGTATAGGGCAATTCTAGTTTAAAATTTCATGGTTTGCGCAGACATTTTAAAAAGTCAACAGCCAGTAAGGCAAGAATTAAAAATTTTGTAATAAGTTAAACAGTCATTTATTAAAAATTAAATTTAATCTTACAAAAAACAAAACATTAAAAAGAAAATATATTTTATCATATTAATTTTCACTTGTCCATGTTATTTTGGCTGGAATGAACATGGAGAATAAAACTAATTCTGTCAATACAGTTAGCTATTTTTAAGGGGCGGTGTATCAGTGACGCATTTTGTTTATTGACATCACCACATACCAATTAAATCGTTACAATAAATTCACACATTGTGTTACAATTAAAATATTCAAGAGTTGTAAAGGGTATTTAGCATTTTAAGGATACTTAGCATATGTGTTGCTAGTTAAGGGTAATTAGCATATTATATGTATGCTCAATCAATCAATCAATCAATCAATCAATCAATCAATCAATCAGTCAGTCAGCCAGCCAGCCAGCCAGCCAGTCAGTCAGCCAATCAGTCAGTCAGTCAGTCAGTCAGCCAATCAATCAATCAATCAATCAATCAATCAATCAATCAATCAATCAATCAATCAATCAATCAATCAATCAGTCAATCAATTAATCAATCAGTCAATCAATTATTTTGTACAACGCTATTTCCGCAATGCTCAACAGCGCTCCTCGGTAAATTTTGCAAACGAATGGGTTTTGAAATTGTTCTAAATTTTGTAAGTAAGGAAGAAATAGTCAGAAAAGGTGATAAAGAGTTTCAGAGAAAAGGACCAAAAAAGCAAACGCAGATTCGGCAAAAGAGTGTTTAACTCAAATGAAAAATAAGTGAGAACAAGAAGACGAAACAAGTTTAAATAAGTTATTAAAATCTATTGTTGATTTGCCGCCACTTGTAGGCTTTTGCGTTTTAAAGAGCATCTCCCAAAGTTGTGAGGAGAATTAGCATATAAGCTGCTAAGTGGTAGTTAACATATTATGCATATATCTATTATACTGATACACTGCCTATTTGCATCTATTCAATTGTATGCATAAATAAACTATAGACCACGTATATGACCAAGTAAAATTAAGATTGACCATCCCTACGTATGCGACTTGCTTCGTCTCCAACGTAACATTCAGTTTTAGAAAGTTGTCTCCACTGATGGCGCACAATTACAAAATGTGTTTTCAAGGGAGATGGCTGCTTTGAATAAGGAATATAATGACAATAATTGAATTGCGTGTTTAGTTTGAATTAATATCTCCAGTTAATTAATTTATGAAATTAAATTTATAAAATTATTTTTGAAGATCTCCTAGTTGTCAATTTAATAATTAATTTTAATTTAATTAATTAAAACCATGAAGTTGAAAATGTATGTGGTATATAATAGAATGCTTTTGATGTGTATGTTGGCTGCTTGAATTAAAATTTTAATTAAAAAATGAATTTGAATTGATTTTTTTAAATTTTTATTTTATATTTGAGTTGAATGTGATGTGAATTTTATTTGTTTTACTAACATATTTTAAATATTTAATTATTATAACTAGTAAGAAAACACGTTTTTGATTATTATTGTCAAAATAACTGACTTAAAAGTTTGTTCGATTAATCATTAATATTAATTAGTTCTATCCACTGTTCTATACTATTCTATATGTCTTTATTAAATTTATATATATATATGTTTATCTATCAATATGATAGGAATAAGATGTTTAATAATTACAACTTAGCAAACAACTAACTAACTCAAACCATTATCTATCTTTAAAAAATTTTATTAATTTTTAATTTTATCTTGTGAGTTGAAGTTTCAAAAATAAAAATAGGGTCAATTAAGAAATTATTATATTATAGTATTGCAGTAAGTAAGTTGTTTCAACATTTAACTGATTATTACATTATTAATGATTAACCAACCATGAAATTGATTATTAATTGAATATGTTAATTAAAATTCTACTAGTGTATGTTTGAACTCATTATAATGATCAGATTGATATGTGGAGATGTCAATGGACAGTTCTCAGCTCTCTCCTCTAAGCTGAACACACTTGTTAAGAAGAGTGGACCATTTGATGTTTGTTAATATTCCACGTCATAAAAAAATAAATGATATATATATATATATATATATATAATTAAGACTAATGCAATTATTGATGCAATTACTGATGAAATCACAGCATGTTCTGCATTAATTAACTGCCTGTTTAATTTTTCTAATGGTAGATTGTAAATAAATGTCAAGTTTCTTGACTTCAAAACAAAATTTTTGTTTATTTTAAGCGTGATAGAAAAAAATCTTTTTTGGTATTCCTATACCATTTTTGGTGTTGTGTATGTGGCCAAATCCTCAAGTGTATATACTCTGTGTCTCTAGTATAATGTTATTTCTTTGCTTGTTTAATGTGAATACTTAACTTAAATTCATCAGACTTGAAGTTTAAAATTGAAAAAACAGATGGCAAAAAGCTAGCATGCCTAGACGTTCTAATACAAATTACTCATTATGAGTTTAAAACCTGAGTATACATCAAAGCAATCAATCTTCGTTTAGCGTCCAGAGACCCAGTTTCCCGAGGTAGGACGTTGTTTTCTTTGCCATCAACTTTGTGCGCCAAATTAGATGATCAGTTGTATATCCATTTCATTTAAATTTAGAGCTTTCATGTCTTGCTCAATTGTTTGCGACCAGGACTTCTTTGGACGGCCTTTGGGACGTGTGCCAGGTACTTCAACATCTGCAAGAGAAGTTATGGCACTGTTTCCAATTCGTTTGACATAACCAAACCACCGCAGATGGTGTTGCCGGCATTCGTCCTTTATATCATCTAAACCAGCACGACGCAAGATTTCGATAGATTTGATGTGGTCCTTCCGACAACCAGGTCTGCCACAAGGAGTCTATGTTGGGCGACACATGATTCGCCAGGTATAACTTTGACGTTTTTGAACAGTCTTCAGTGTGGTTGCTTGACAGCGAAGAAATCAATTTGCATGGCTGATGGTCCACTTTTGTATGTTATGAGATGTTCCAACCTCTTTCTAAAATATGTGTTCAGTAAACAAAACCTGTGACTTTCAGCAAACTCAAGGATGCGGTTGCCATCTTTATTCCGTTCTCCATAGCCAAAACCGCCATGTACGTTGTCAAAACCATCTGTTTTCTCTCTAACGTGGCCATTGAGATCGCCTCCAATTAATATTGTTTCAAATTTTGGTATTGTTGAGATGGTGTCATAGAACGCAGCCCAGAAGTCATTTTTCATCTCTTCTGATTCGCCTGTCTGTGGTGCGTATGCAGAAAAAATAATCATTGTTTGCTTTTCTATGCGAAGCTTGATCCACATGAGACGTGAATTAATCCTTTTAATATCCAGTACTTCTTGGGCTAGCGGTTCTCTGACAAAAATTCCAACACCATTTTTGGCCGTCTTTTGACCATTCCAGAATAGTTTATATTTTTCTTTGTCTGAGTTGACATGACAGACACTATTCGATTTCCATCGGGTCTCCTGAAGGCAGCAGATGTCAATCCTTCTACGCTCGAGCATTTCTGCGATTTCCATGCTGCGGCCAGTCAGTGATCCAACATTGAGCGTTCCAAGTCTAAGTACCATAGAGGGGCCATTCTGAATTTTTCTGCAACATCCCTCCGCTATTTCATACTTTCCAGGGATTCTTGGCGCCTCTTGACCACTCCAGGCCTGCTGGGAACTAGGGGCCGTTTTATTTCTTTGTGATAGCATAGGAATAATTTGGGGAAATGTTTTTACATCCGGACACCCATCCTGACGACAACCACCAGTTATAAGTGGTGGGCCTAGCCTTTTGCTCAAAAGCACGCAAGGCAGCGTGGATGCAGTTTTATGTCATGCCCAGGACATACATCAAAGCAACCGATAGAATAATTTAAAAACTAAACAGGAAGTTAACTAACTGAGAATATGCTGTGCTTTTTATCAGCATATATATATATATATATATATGTATATATATATATATATATATATATATATATAAAATATATTTAAAACATAAATATGTAATATATAATTTATTTATTTATATAATATTCTTGTATGTGTGGATGTCATTGTTATAGTCTCGATTTGTTTTTTCCAACAGATGTTGTTTTGTGTGGGGAACTTCTTTGGAGAGGACGAAGAGGAAAATTTGAGTATCGAGAAGAATAAGCATTCGTTTGCAGTGGCAACGTACATACTCGGACCCAGCAAAAAGGAACATGTGAAATATTACAAGGACCTCATGGGATATCAGCTGTGTGAAAATGTCACTTATCTTGGTTACAAAACTTTGTTTTACATTTGAATTGTTTTACTATTGCATGACTTTGCTGGTTTGTCTAAGGAAGCAAACATGTTTCCGTTTAATTTTTAGATACAATGGTATATCCTCCAACTATCAACTATTTGCTCAGTATGTTTTAAAGAGAGTATTTGATTGAACATAACATTGTATGTTAACTTTTATGTTGCTGATGCATGGTAGGTCGCAGAGGTTTGTTCAGGGGAGTGTCCAACCTGAGCGTTGCCTTCCTAAGTGGGGTCGACCAGGAAGCGTCAAACCCTTCGTCGCATCATCAGTTCAATGCCGACGACATCAAATCATTTGAGGAGAGCATCACATCGCAAGAGAACTTTAAGGGAGTGGATGTCTTTCTTACATCTCAGTGGCCTCATGATGTCGACAAATATGCCATCAGCGTCGTATGTCGCGTGCTTTGCTTTTTGCTGTGCTGCTTTTTGTGTTTTTTATTGTATGGTTCATGTTTAATCATCTGTCGCATGTTTTGTTTGCTTTGTGGTAAGCTGTAAGTTTTTTGTAATACGTTTTTGTTCGGCAAAGTTCATGTGAATCGTAATATTGAGATGGCAGTCTAGTTGTGCATTCATGAAGACGTGACAACACACACATACACACACACACACACATACATACATGCAGCCGTGCACACCGACACAACACTCAACAGAATGAAGCGTACGACGGATCATCGCTGGTCAGCAGGCTGGCACTCACACTGAAACCGCGCTACCATTTCTCCGGTCTGAACAACATGAACTACGAGAGACTTCCATACAGGTGGCTTCCCAGCTATCTAACTATTGGATTCTCTTCATTACTTCATTAGCATAATATAAATATAATTAGTTTCTTTCTAATTGTTCGCTCAGTTTCTAGTTAAAAGTGTGTGCGGGGTTTGATGTCGTCACTGGTGAATGATTTAATTTGCATTGAACGAACCGAGCAGGAACCACAGGATACTTGCAGAGAAATCGCATCACGTCACGAGGTTCATTGCACTGGCCCACTTCAACAACACGCACAAGAGGAAGGCCTGCTCCTCTTTGCTCTCATTCATTTCATTGGCAGATCATTTCATTATAATGTGCAGAGATTTAATGATTCAATTTCGTTTGTTATTCAGAGGAAGATATTTATTGTTATTGTTAATTGTTTAATAATGTCAGTTATGATTTTCTTAGCGTGTAAAGTTAACATTTAAAAAATTTGAACCAAAAGTTTTTGTATGCCTTCTCGATTGATCCAATTGTGACGATGGATGCTGCTGAGCTGAGCAGGCAGCCAGATGAGACTACTGAAGCACCGTACAACAAACAAGTTCTCTTCAAACAGGTGCCTTCCATTCACTGAACCGTTCAGCTGTTCTTTCGTTTCTTATTTAATAAGACTAAGTGCTTGTTTATTATTACCTTTATTGCATTTCTCTTGCAAGTTTCAAATATTTTGAAATGAAGAGCTGTTGTATACTGTTGTAAAATATTCATTTGAATGTGTGTTCGTGTGGCGGTGCGTAATTCTAACGTGATTCATTCAGCTGCAGCATCTTCTGCATGCGTGCCATTATGATCAACATGTACATTGAACTCCTTGTGACTTTCATCTCAAATCTCAAAGACTCTCAAATCGCAGACTTCGTATATGTCGACTATTTCCGTCCTTTTAATGGCTACGCATGCTAGTTCACAAAATTTCATGTAGCGCCTATTTTAAAAATTCAAACCCTCACATACCTACATTCATATATACACATTCATATATACACATTCATATATACACGTTCATATATAAATACATATATAATATTATTTGTGAGGTAAGTCGACATACATATATGTGTCTGCATTTATTTTTGCTGCTTTGTTTCTCATGCAATCAATCAATTAGTCTATTTAAAAATAAGGACCAGGATGGGGCAAAGGTTGAACCCACTCAGCAGTTTTTTTATTCCACTTCGAAGACGGGTGATAAGAGGAGGTCAGATGGTACGAGGCCACCAGGCACAAACTTCAAGAAACAAAGTTGGTTGTTTACATTTTGTTGCTCTGTTTGATGATTTATGAAATTTTTCATGCTGCTGTTTTTCCCAACTTCTTTATTTGTTTCTTATCATCAGTGTTGTTGTTTTATTGATATGCTTGCTGGTGTTTGGTTGCTGTTGAAACTTGCCACAATCTGGCACGCTGTGTGGTTGGTTGTTGTTCCTTCTTGGCCTGGACATCTCTGGTCAGTTTGTAAATTGGTTGAAGGCTCCTGAGCTATGTGAGATCGCACGGACCAATGTTCTCGTGGTTTGGGGTTGATAGTGACGTCGGACAAGGGTTGGTGCATTCTCGCTTAGGATGAGTTTTTGGTCTCAATGAATTGGATTCTGGAATGCATTATGGATAAATTAAGTCTGTACAGATGTAGGTTATGTGAATGTTCAGATGCTGAAAGAGATACGGTTACTTTTTTTTACTATCATTGGCGATCTTATCCGAGGAAGCTAAACCCTTTGGACTTAAATTGGGACAAAATCCAAACCATGTCTGCAAACGATTCTCAGCCGAAAACAGTTTAGAAACAGTGCACATGTTCATGCATTCCTACATCAACTCTATATGCTGTATGCACACAGGTACATAAACGCATACACTTATTTGTACATGAACTCTATACCAAATTATTTGCAGTGATCAGTCAAGATATCTGCTGGTTCTGTTTGGCTAATCCGAAGGTGGAAAAACATTTGGTGATCAGTGTGGGAGAACTTGTGAGTGGATATTGTGTGTGTCCTGCAATGTGTGCTTTTGAATTCGTGAGTGTTTGTGATTTTGTATCCGTGACACGTTGTGTGTGTTTCAGGGTTTTTGTCAGAATTTCTATACATAATGCATACCTGTGTGTTTGAACGCTTGTGTGATATGTGTGATATGCAGCCTGTATGATAATAAACGACTTCGTGCGTTATTGTTCTGCCAGTGAAGGGTGCCTTCATCATCATCATCATCACTACTTCTAGCATCACCATCACTGCAATCGTTATCATCATCATTCATCATCACCTTCCAAGTGTTACCTGGCGCTGGCCAAAGGAGGTCTGAATGATGAACACTCGTTGATCATCCCCATCAACCACCACGCCTCGTCAACAACATCCCCACCTGAAGTCATCAACGAGATTCAAGTGTTCGTTTCTTTCATTCTTTCATTCTTTCATTCATTCATTCATTGTTTCCTTTAATTCATCAATAATTGATTCATGCGTTCATTCTTCCTCATAATCACTCTTCATTCATTTATGATTCATCATGTTGTGTGGAATCAACCTGCGGTTTGGTGAAGTGCATTTCATATACATGGTTAAAAAGTAGCTTGTATGCAAATTATGGAAATTCTCGAAATGTGAATGAGCTATGATATCCCACTGACCACACTCAACACTCCGGCCATCAGGTACAAAAAAAGTCTGACCAACTTCTTCAAATTCAACGGCAAGTGTGTCGTGTTTTTTGAGCGCAACTACAAGACGTCTCACATGCAACTCCAAGTTGTTCCGCTGCCCGAGAGGTTTGAGAGCAGGTTGAAGGAGGCCTGCCTGAAGTTCTGCAAGGATCAGGACATTGACCTGCTTGAACTGCCAGCGCACTCCGACCTCTCACAGATGCTCTCCCCCACATCTCCATACTTCTGCATTGAATTGCCTGATCATCAACGGTTCTTCTTTAGGGTTCCAAAAGGGTTCAACATCAATTTTGGAAGGTTGTTTGCTCACTTTGTTATTGATGAGTATGCATTTGATGCTGTTATTTAATGTTGTGGGGAATGGAGTGGACCTGGACATGTGTTCCAATTCGATGAATCAAGCTGCAATCTTATTGATAGATAACTACAAATTAATGTTGAATTGTAGAATGATGTTGTGTCAAGTGTCACTGCTGAACCAACCAGAGAAGATAGATTGGAAGAATTGTCAGATGTCGGAGGACATGGAGAAGAAGTCTTGTGCCAAGATCAGGGAGCAGTTCAAAACATTTGACCCTTTCAACTGATTGCCATCAAATCATTCTTGAAACTACTGGAAGATGAAAATTATGCTTGAAAATAGAAGTTCAAATACACCTCTCCTCACTAACAAACATGAGAACGTTCACGTCTCGCTTGTATATACGCACCTACCTCGCTGGGCGATCAACTTTTAGAGTAAGGGGCAAATCTGTATTTTGGTCCCGCATTTTTTTAAAAAAAGTAATATTTTTAAACAATGTCTGTCCACAAAAATCATTTGTGTGTGTGTGTGTGTTTGTGAGTATGAGTGTTATTCAATAATGTATGAATTTTGCTGAATTGTTGGCATCAAACTTTAAATTGGTTAATGCCAACAATTTGGTTAAATTCATATACGATATTATATTAAAATATACATAGTGAAAGTCCGACCCATAACGGATGGAGACTATAAACGAGGATTGATTGATGTATATAATGAAAAATACTTTTAAAAAACTAAATATCGGTTAATGTAATTGTTTTCTTTGATGAAATGACTTTATATTCATGTTTTAAAACATACTGAAAGAAAATTATGTGATTGTGTTGACGTTAGCATTTGTTTTCAGCGTTAAAGATGATTGCATATCGCTACACATATTTATCCTCTTAAAAAACACGATTTTGAAAATTATTTTTAGAATAAAAAGTTTCGAATTTTTAGCATTTCGGAGTCGAATGAAAAATCTCCAACCGACTTCGCATTCTCATAAACCGCCCCATTAAATTCTTTTGCGGAATAAAAAACGATGATAAAGAAACGATGTAGGTATTATTTATAAGTTTCGTTTGTTAATATGGCGACTGGCGAGTGATCCGCCATATATAAGCAGAGACCAGTTGTGTATGTGCGTGGTTGTTGTATCAGATATGCGCCAATTGGGTTGAAATTTAGGGTTCGGCTTAAGCTATTTTTAAAGACCAAATAGCCCAATATTGCAACTTCTGTTCTAGCCACCATTATTTTTGGCTTCGGAAACAATCGTTAATTATTAATAGCGGAATGTTTTTCACTAGCTTTTACAAAATTAGAAATTGAATAGGAGATTAAATATTATCTCAATGAAGAATTAAATAAAAAAAATGAATGATTTTCTCAGTAGCTTGTTTTCTATTCTTAAAAATAAATTTTTTTATATGTTTTGGGTTTTCGGTATCGGGGGCGAATAGTGGGCTGAATAGTGGATCGGCGTGTATGCATGTGTGTTAGAAGTTTGGAATGTTCCGTTTAGTCCTAATTTTATAAGGAAATATTTTTAATTTTTTATAAGATGTTTATAAGAATTGTTTATCAGGTAAATTAAAAATATTCACAACTCTGTTTAAATTAATCTTGAATTTTATTTACAAATCTCAACAGAAAGTTCCAATATGCATCTAAAATAAAGAGAATAATTTGAACGTTTTCAAATAAATAAATTATTAAATAATGAATTAAAATGAAACAAAGATAATAATCACCGCAAATAACAATTAATTTGAATTAATGGTGATGACTGTCCATGAAATACACTTTCAAGTATACACAAGAATAAAATCATTCAAATAAACAACCTAACCTACATACGCTGCAAAACTAAGTTTGTTGTAAATGTGAGGTTATGATGGAAATAAATGATGATGAGGACAGGACCGCGATGATGGGGATAACAAAAATGAACAGTCAGATAATGGCGATATTAACATGGATTGGTTAATAATTAAAATATTTCATCAGTGAACAATGAACGGGTAAGGAAACATAACTAGGGCATTATTGTGGTTGATTAGAGACAAACAGGTGAAAATTACAGCTTTGTTACGAAATGGACGACGACGAACATGAGTATGCACAAATGAACAACGATGAACAAATGAGTATGAATATCTAGGTCCCTAATCGTGAGTGTGCGTAACTGTGATCGTGCCAATGAAAACGGAGGAATCGGAAGAAGTTAAATAGCAACAAAATAGTATAAAACAATATTAAAGGGGTAATTATACAAAAAAAATTGTAACGAAACATCAAAACAGTTACAAGTTATGAAGAAAATGTGCAATGTTGACGCACGTGCGTGTGCGTGTTAGCATGCATGTACGAAGGTTATTGAAGTTGAAATAATTGAAATTAATCGAAACGCGTAAACGATTTAACCCTGACTCATGAAGTAGATCAATTCAATGCACGCGTTTTGTTAAAGTGAACACGCACAAATGAACGAACATAACAGAAACTTAAAGCAAGTAATGAACGATGATATGATGTCAGCATTAATTATCCAATCTTCCATGTTTGCTAAGTAATGTACATCCATTATCCTATTGCATACGTACACACACACACACACACGCACACACACACACACACACACACACACACCTGCAGACATATACATACATACATAAATGTATAGGTATAAATTACAAATCGATTAACGTTTTAATTGACTAAATAATTTTATCAAACATATTTTTAATGAAAGAACAAAGAACGATTTTTGTTGTACAATTGATGTAACAAAACGATTGTCAAATATTGAGGTACGTTGTGTGCTTGCAGGTCTGTTGATCATTTGATTGGTTGGTTGGTTGGCTGATTAGTTAGTTAGTTGGTCAGTAAGCTAGATGGTTGGTGTGTTGGTCAAGTTGTTAGGTCGCTGGCTGATCACATGGTTGACTGGTCAATTGGTTGAATGGTCGTTCAGATGTCCACGACATGAACGCGCAGGTCTCGGTCTCCTGTCGACTTGTTCCTTCTTGAATCTCTGCTGTTGTTTTCAGCCACGTTATCATGTTTACTATTGAAACCATTCTTGAATCATTCATGCAATTATGTCCATTCAAATTATAATAGGAAAAAAGATGCGAAAGAATATTTAACGATGAGTTAGCTCACGATATGCGGTGGAGTTTCGTCTTTCTTGCTGATATTTCGAGCAATTGAGAAGTAATTACGTTCAAATGCTGCCAGTAGAGGATGTAACGCACAGCACAAGAGTAGTTTATGATAATTAGACGTTCACACCATCACATCATGGTCTTGCGGAAAACGATTAAATAAAACAAAGCAAGCACGAAACGTGGACAGTCATGACAACTGACCTTGAAACGTCTTCATTTAAAGCAGTTGTACCGTTAGAAGCAGCCATGTTGATCAGATGAATGCCTTCCAAATGTGTCTTATCTTCATCTTCATCAGCATCATTCTCATCGACGTAATCATCATCAGAATGTCCTACCTTGTATCGTTTGAAGGTCGGTTTCTTCCATCTGTGCAAGTTTGTATCACGCTTTAACAAGAGTGCTGATCACCAAGGTTAAAAATAAGTAGGAATGAATGGACGTACGTTCAAACAGCAGACGAACCAATTATTTCGAACCATCTGACGCAGTGCTCCGTCAGCATTTTACAATTTTTATTCAAAAGAAAAGAAAAAAATATATTTCAGCCTTTTAAAATGAAAATTGTTATGTCTAACGAATGAGCTTGCTTCTTTTTTATCATTTCCTCAAAGTGCGTTTGAGATGAGGTCAGTGCCACGGGTAGCGGCGAAAAAACATCCAAATGGTTTCTGCATTTGTCTTTCAAGTCATACGCGAAAAACCGATTCCACATAAATAGGTGGATGGAAATAGGAGAATTGTTACGGCTCTGTCTGCGAGCTTTTGGTGTTCTGACTCGATGCAGATTCAGAAAGGACAGATCTAACGAGTTGTTGACAGCAAAGAAGCGGAAGCGTCACTGCCTTTCCAACATCGGCAGTGGCACTCCGTTGCTTTTTTTAACAGTACGACGCTATCATGTGGCGTTACTCCTCATGTTAAAATAAAATCGATATTTGCCGCTTTTGAATAGAAGATAATTTTTTGGTGTAAGATTCCACTGGAACAAAAGTTAAATTAAAAATAATTAATTTCTACTTTAAAGCATTCTTGATCCAATAACATCGGAAAAACATGCAACTGCCTCGACCAAGAAGAATTCCATCCATTAAACAACTTTCCACACCGATAAATTTAAGAAAATTTTTACGAAAATTTTGACGAGTTTGGAATTGAGCGCTCGATTGAAAAAATGAATTCTAAAGTATGTATAAGCAGTCTGCTAGATGCATTTGTCCTAACCATAGTAACCAACAATGCTTGACATCATTATTATATATTACTTGTCACTGTTGGAAGCAGTTTTGTTATGTTGGTTTATTTCATTTCATAAGACATTTTTAATTTGGTTTGAGTCTTCGTCCAATAATTTTCTTTAATTATATTCTTTAATATTATATTATATTATAAAAATATAAACGAATGGTTAAAATTATTATGAGGTCTTGGAAAGAAAGATGATTTTTTACGGATATAACCGTGATGTCCTAACCACCACCAACATGGGAGTGAAGATTTTTTGGACGTTATGACTTTGAATTGTTTATAACTTGCGAATGACTGCTAGCAGTGAAAAATAACTACAACGTAACAACAAGTTTGCACGTTTGGATCTTTTAAAAAGTTTAAGTTTTCAAGAAAATATGTTTTAAATTTTTTACTTTTAGATTTACATTGTTTGACAACATCTCGGAAACTGTTTTAAACACTTTCAGACTTCTCATTATAATCAAAATGTAGCGTAGCAATTTTCGACGTCACTTTTCTGCGTAAGTAAGGCAAGGAAACCTTAGCAACCTACCATCCAACAATAGAACATCAGCCAGGCTAACAACACACACAACAATTCAACAACGCCACCACATCAATCGGTAACAATCCAACCAACCCAGCATCAACCATCAACAACAACACATCAACCAACATCAATCCACAACAATCTAGCAGCGACAACAACAACGCAATCTCAACGACCAACAATCCAACTAACAACTTGAGCAGCAGTGACGAGAGGACCACAGACACGGAGGACATCGCCATGGCAGCTGAAGCCATCCACGGTTGTAAGGAGAGACCAAGTGGGTGGAACATCCCTAATGTGTGTGTGTGTGTGCGTGTGTGCGTATGTGCTTATGACAAACAACAAACAGATAAACAGGCAAATACAGACAAGCAGCAAACAGACAAACAAGAGACAAACGAGCGACAAACAACAAACAGACAAACCAGCTGCAATTGGGATGCCAAGAAGATTGTAGATGCTGGCAGCTACGAAGTTGATGTAGATGCGCCGGACTGTAACGCGAGAGAGAGAGATGGCAGCTACAACATCCGTCAGCTGGTCCTGATGATGATGTGATGACGATGTGATGATGATGATGTGATGACGATATGATGTGATGATGTTGATGTGATGGAGATAACAAATATACAAAAAGGATGGAGTTGACTGGAGAGTGTGGTGGAGGAACCTTCATGAGGACGATGTCGGCAGCCTCGATCGCAACATCAGTGCCAGTACCAATTGCGACGCCCACATCCGATTGTGCCAGCGCAGGTGAATCGTTCACTCCATCACCCACCATGGCAACGACCTTGCCCGAACTTTGAACTTGTTTGACCTTTTGAACCTTGTCCGACGGAAGCACCTGAGCAAACACTTTTTTGATGCCAACCTTGGAGAATAAAGTTAAGTAATCGTGAACATCTCGAGGGAATGATAAGTTTGTAGTTTACATGGACACACATTCCTTATTATTGGTCCTATCTATCGATCTGATTTTTTGGTGGCTACGTGGATTTGCAGGACAAACAGCAAATAGGCTGTCCATTCGTTCTCGCGATAATTCACAAGCCAAGATAACTTCAACAAAGCATTTGCCGATACTGCAACTTTTGGAAAACTGAGACAACCTTTGAACAAAAGCTTAAGCAATCCAATCGCTAGGTGTAAAGTTTTAATTATTATCATAATCATTATCATAATCATCTCCACTACCACCACCCATCATCATCATCAGCACCTTCCTAGCGATGGACCGAGCGGTGAGTGTGTGGTCCCCAGTTAGAAGCATGACGTCAATCTTCATCCTCTGCAGCAACTTCACGGACAACCTGGCATCCTCCTTCAACGTGTCCTCCACCGCCAGCATCATCATCAGGACGGCTGGTTGGTGGGTGGGTGGGTGGATGGTGGGTGGATCGGTGGGTGGGTGAGTGGTCGTGTGCATTCATGATGATCATGGTGATGAATGTGATGCTGCGAGATGTATGCATGTAACAACGGCACATCAACTAACAACATCAACAACATCAATTAACATCAACACATCAATTAACATCAACACATCAACACATCAACAACATCAACACATCAACACATCAACAACATCAACACATCAACTAACAGTCGATAGCACAGAGGACAACGGTGAGTCCCACCTTCTCGTACTTCATCATGACGTCATCCACCACACTATCCACCAACACTCCATTCCTCCTCAACCACTCCCGATTGCCTATCAACACCTCAGTCTCCGGTGCTGATGGTAATGATGTTGATTGGTCGTCTAGATGCGGGAATAATGATGATGATGATAGTGATGATGGCGATAGATACGATAGATACTTATATTTTTTTAAATTTTATTTTGACCTAAAATTAGAACTAATATTGTTTTCCCTGTTATATATTTAAACAATTATGCTATAAAACGGGTTAATTCAGTTCCTTGGTGTCGTTATTGCTTCGAATTTGTCATGGTTTGACCATATTAAATATATTTCATGTAAATTATCGAAAAACCTAAGTATAATATATCGTTTAAGGTTTAAATTTCCAAGTTTCATCTTATTGACTTTTTATAACTCTCTCGTGCTACCTTTTTTAACTTATTGTATTTCGGTTTGGGGTTTAGCCCCTAAATCTCATCTTAAAACTTAAACTCTAGTTCAAAATTTTTTTCTTAGGATATTATTCAAATTTAAAAAAATTGATCATATAAGTCATTGTTATCAATTGGCTAATATTTATAACATATATTAGTTGTACATTATTTATTTGCTTGTTTTCTTTTTCAAAATATATAGATTAAACTATTGTGCGACTCTCTACAGTCAAGTTATATTATTTAAAAATCCTAAAAGAAATACTTTACGTTATAATCTTGATCTTTATCTCATTAAACCAAGGTCCAATTTTTTTCTTAACTCAGTCTTATCTTCTTCCATGCGTTCATGGGATACTTTAGCTGGTATGTAAAGGACTCACCCTCTCTTGGATTATTCAAAACTGCTATTCACCATCTTATCTTATCTGGTCATTTCACACATGATTGACAGTATTTACTCTTTGTATTTATTCATTGTGTTTTACTTTTAAAATAATTAATTAATTATCTCTCGTATTTCAGTTGAACTGTATGTTTTCATATGTATATGAGCATTTACTTAAGTATATGCAAGTTTTGTTTTTGGCTTTGTTTCGTTACTTTATTCTATTTTCATTTTATTTAGAAGTATCTTGTTTTTAATTGATTTGGGTGGCCCTACAAGCGCGAGCTTCGGGTCTCCTAGTGAATGACATATGTTTTTCGCATGTGTTTGTTTGCTAAATGAAAGGATTATTGAATTGAATTGAGATACTGATCCTATTAGTGATGATGATAGGAATGATGATGTTGATGACAAAGACATAACGGATAACATCGATGAATGATGATGAAAAGATATCAGGGCGGTGGTGTTGTAGTGGTGATGTAGGAAGAAAGATATCCCACTCAGACCCCGACTGGCTCCTCAAAAAATTCCGACCCCAGCAAGAATCTCCGACCCCAATCGACAGGCACACTGACATTATGCCCAATACATTATTACTTTGTTAACATAAAATATAGCCTCATAATCATCGTCATCACCACCACTATCATCATCGCCAACATCATCATCGTCGTCATCATCACCATCATCATCACCATCACCCACACCATCATCATCATCGTCGTCATCATCACCATCATCATCACCATCACCCACACCATCATCATCATCGTCGACATCATCACCATCATCATCGTAATCATCATCAGATACCAACTTAATGCTGTCGTGTCACCGCAGACGTTCAATGGTTTTGTGGCACCGTGCTCAACGAAAACAATTTGCTTGTAAGCTGACTCTATTGAATCGACATAAGTCGGTTGTTGTTGATTCTGTTGATGATTATGTTGTTGTTGTTGTTGATGCTGTTGATGATTATGTTGTTGTTGATGATGATGGTTTGTTGAATGTCTTTCTTGTTGCTGATGATTTAGTAGATGTTGTTGTTGTTGCTGTTGTTGTTGTTGGTTCTGCGGATGTTGTTGGACTTGCTTCAAACCGCCCAGCAGACCAGTGACGACACACTTCAATCCGTGGCCGGGCGTCATCTGGAAGCTGTCCACTTTGGCGAACTGATCTATTCCAACCTGACAGTGACCATCATCAGTTCTTCATCCATCCATCTTACTTGTGGTTCAAGTGCATAACTTTATAAGGAGCAACAATATCTTCCAACATACGATCACGACTACAACATCAACATCTGATCAACATCAACAACATCAACAACGACATCAACAACAACAAAAACAACAACAACAACAACATCAACAACAAAAACATCAACAACAACGACATCAACCCAACCTTCCTAGCGTAGTTGACAACAGCATCGGCAATGGGATGTTCGCTGCACGACTCGGCAGATGCAACAGCCAGAAGTATCGAGACGAACGAATGAACGTCGAGGGTTGAGAACACGATGACCTTCGTGACCTCGGGTCGACCGTGGGTCAACGTCCCCGTCTTGTCGAATATCACGCAGTTGGTCTGTTGGTCGTTGTGGGCGTCAACAATATAACATCAACAACAACCACCCCACGCACCACCACCACCACACTGATCCTACAGACAAAAACAAACCACTACATTGCACCGAAAACAACGAACCCCAGCCACACTGTAAAATTATTGCAAACGAACTTTGTGGGCCTTCTCAAGAGGCTCCCCTCCCTTGATGAGGATGCCGTTGAAAGCCCCCACCCCCGTGCCCACCATGACAGCAGTGGGGGTGGCAAGTCCCAGAGCACAGGGACAGGCAATGCAGAGGACTGATATGCACATGCGGAATGCTCGCTGGAAGGTTGACTCGTGGATGGACTTCGCAGTTGAACCCTGTCAAAATGGTTTGGTTGGTGTTCTTTCCATGAGTACCTTCCTACTGACTTGTATGTTGAATCTGAATTATAGTGCTTGCTTGGTCAACATAATAGCAGAGTACGACAGATCCTCTGACCAACAGCATAGTCGTCTCTAAGCTGAATACTATTAAACTCTACCACAGAAAAATTAGCTGAGAGAACTTGAGAACGAGTGATGTTTGTTACAAAATAGTGGATTACAAATGCAGTTTGATGGTGTTGGTTAGTAAGAGTGATAACGTTCGTCTGACAATGGCCATGATAATGAATATGATCCTTGGAGGGCATAACTCAACGTTCACAACAACACATTCACAACAGCAAATAACAACGACACGTTACAACAATGTGTTGCATTGGCACAACAATATAACATCAACAACACCAGCAACCATCTATAAAACATCAACAACACACAAGCAACCATGCAACATGATACAACAACAACAACAACAACGGCAACACACAAGCAACCACAACAAGCACTACCTGATGAGACTGCACGTATCCAATGACAATCCAGATGACGAGAGTGACACAGGACACGACCAACACACCTGACGTATCAACCAACAACATGCCATTCAACAACATCACAACATGTCATTCAACAACATCAACAATATGCTATTCAACAACATGCAATGAGATAGCATATAAGGCAATATCATATAAATAGAATCTATATTCTATTTGTATGGGCAGTACCATTAATTTGTTCAGCCGGTTGGTCAAGCGCGCCAACTTGTTCTTAGCACTTTGCAAAGATACGCTAAGTGATGGTGCACGTTTGTAAACAATGGTGAATGATTACGATGACGAATGATGATAAACGATGGTGGATGACGTGGAATAACGGGCCACGTAATGATGCCAACACTGACCTGGTACAAAGAAGCCTGCCACTCGGTCGGCTATTTTTTGACTTTTAGCCTGATTGGTGATAATGAATGGTGTTAATTCATTTCTGTAGGTTTCAATAACATTTTTTATGCTAGTTAGGCTCAGCTTTGTGACGAAACTTTTCTCAAAACTACAATTGGTGGGAGAAAAATTAATTCTAAAATTTGGAGTTTACTTCTTTATGAACGTTGCTCTCCATTGTGCAGTTCGTCTACTTTTCTCTACAATCTATAATCTTTCTAATGCAGCACTGACAGACGCGGAGCTGCATGCATGTTATACATCTACACTCGTAGTTAAACTTTCGCGCCACAAAGGCTGTACTATCTACACCACACCACACCACACGATGCTGCACACACACATTAGGTATGCACACTCAAGAACCGCATCGTACGGGTATGATAGTCTTTGAGTTTCGAACATCCAGTCTTCGAACCATGCCCTCACGTAATAGCAGAGCGAGACATGGCACTGCTACCGACTGAGCTAACCCGCTGACCATGGATATCGACCTGCTACAGTCAGATATTAATATTAACCCCTCCTTCTTGTAACTTTCGTTCGTGTGACTCCGTTGACACAACATCATCATCAACATCATCATAAACATCATCTCCTCCACAACAACAACAAACGCCATCACCGCTGTTACAACAACAACATCCCCCCTCACAACGACATCACCACCGCACTTACAACTCACCTTACTCATCTGTGCTTCTTCAACCAGCTTGACGATGTTGGCCAGGGTCCCCTCCCCCCCCACCTGAGTGCACCTGACCAGCAACGTGCCCAGCTGGTTCACTGATCCGCCTATCACATGGTCGCCTGTGTGCGTCCAATAATTTTCAACCATCACATTGCAAGTAAGTGTCATCGTTTGTTGTGCACAGAAATCTGAGACACGAACGACTGAACTCTTTCGCATCAATGTTAAAAAATGACAATGAAATAAAAGAGCGGTAGGAGTAAGGGAACGAAACAAGTGAGACACCTGCTGACTTGACGATAGGCATGGACTCGCCGGTGATGAGCGATTCGTCACAGCTGGACGACCCTGCCACTACCACTCCATCCACGGGGATCTTCTCACCTGGATACACCTTTATGACGTCTCCCTTGTGCAGCAGGTCTACGGCTTTAATCAACATTTTTTATTTTATCGCCGTCAGATGTCATTCACTTCGCAGCAACCCTCAAAATATCAAAGAGCAAGAAAAACTACTCACGAATCAACTTCTCCTCGACATTATCACCAGTTGTAAGCACAAGGTTGGCGTCAGTAGCCTGCAGGGACATCAGTCTGGTCAGGGCTTCCGAGGTCTTGCCCTGTGTTCGATGGGGAGGTGTATAGGGGTTGGCCCATATGTGTGAACATAAACATCTATTGATATTAACGACTGCTTACTTGATGTTTTTAAATAAATGAACGTGAAGACTAATAAATAAAATAAATAAATTATAAAAAGAAAATAGCAAGCAGCAAGCAGTGGCCTCATCTCACTTTGGTGATGCACTCCAGCCACTTTCCCAGGCAGATGAACAGCAGCAGCATTGGAGGCGTTTCAAAAAATGTAGGCGGACTGTAATCCTTCCGAAGTGTGATGGCGATGAGGAGGACAGCGATGGAGTAGATGTAGGCGATGGAGGTGGCCATGAAAATCAGAACGTCCATGTTCGTGTGCTGGTTCCTCAGGGTCCTGATGCCCCTCACGATGAAGTGCCTGCCACCCAGCACCTGTTTGGTGGTTGGTCGAAGCTTTGCAGTGATACAGAAGAGAAGTAGACGGAAATAAGCAGACTTCATCATTTTCTATAACTTTTATATCATTTTCATGTAAAAATCATCATTAACTTTCTCGTAATCATTTAAAGAATGAAGTTTCAAACGAAAATAAAAATGTTTTATCAAAATTATAAAATGAAAAACTGCAAAAGTACCATGCAGAAAGTGCAGAGAATAAAAAGAAGAAAATTTTCCCAGGATAAACCGGAAATGACCATATACTTGGAGCACTCTCCAGCACCAGTATCAACACCCCCAACATCGCTACGGTCATCATCGGACGTCGTATTTGAGGGTGGTGTGGCGAAGGTACGTTTCAAAGTCACTCCTCCGTCGTTTGAAGATCCCGTCATGTTGGTGCTGCTGATGCGCTGGGATGAAGGCGAGGATGTTGATGTCTGCAACGATGGAAATGATGACGAGGATGACAAAATGTTTGAGATGTTGGTGATTTCTTCAGCGTGGCCCGGAAGGTGGTGAGCTTGGTGGCAGTGACTGGGAACGACCCACATGAAGTACATCATGATGAACATGGACGGAACGCCAAACAGCAAGGAAAACAGGAAGGACTTCTTCCATCTGTTTTTATCATCACATGGATTAACTCCTTACTGGATTATCACACGTTAACGCATCATCTTCGATATCATAAAACTGAATTAAAATTAAACTCTTAAACAAAACTTTTCTTAAATCAGGTTTTTTTAAAATATTTGTTAGAGTTAAAAATGAGCCAAGGTAAAAATGAATTGTGGGTGTGACCTCAAGTCGTCCTCAAATGTGTACACACTGAGCACGTGAATTAGTGTGAAAATCACGCATTACACGCACTGCATGTGACGGGAGGGGATCTTTCTGCATTTGAACCAGGTAACTTAGCTATTATGCCGTCTTGTCGTCGTCATTGCATAGTCACGCCAACTGCATTCCCGATAAAGTTTACAAAACAAAACGTACCGTTTAGCTTCTTCAAAAATGTTTACAAACGCAACAGTAAGTGGTTTAATGTCAAATATAACTAACTAGTTTCAAACGTTATGAGCAACTCGTGCAACTAAATATAGCGGTTAAATAATAAGAACTCTCACTGGTTTGGAGCTGCGGCAAAATGAAAAATGACATTAGGTGCGATGGAGTTTGTGTAGACAGAATTTTCAATTAAGTTGTGAAGGAATAAAAAGCTAGAGCCACATTGGAAAGGAACAATGAGTGCACACAGTACCGCCGAGAGGGGGGGGCAAATGCCCAGGGGCCCGGCGATATTTAGGGGCCCGGCGATATTGAAGAGCCCGGCGATTTTTAAGGGTCTGTCGATTTGCAGGGGCCCGAGTTGTTCTCGTCAATCAATTCATGAAAATATTTTCACGGCAATAAAATGGATATTATTGTCTAGTTTTTTTAAACTGAACTTCAATCAAAATTACAATCAAATTAAACCTCAAATATCTGTAGGTTGCAGTGTTTGGTTTTATTTTATTTTGTATCCGTTCGAGTATTAAGTAACACAAAAACGGCTTTTTTCTCTCTCAGTAACACTTTCTTACGTAACAAAAATATTTTCTGCAATAAAATCATAATCTGTACAAACCCTTTCTATTAATCAATCAATCAATCAATTATTTATATTTATATAGCGCAGTTTATTATAAACTGTTTATAAAATTAAAATGTGAAATAACACAGTATAATTTGTTCCATAAATCTGCACTGAAATATACGAAATACGTGTTTTCCATGAAAAAATAAAATTTTTGATAAATTTAAAAAAAAATTATTTTTTTTTACATAAAAAATATTTTACGTAATAAATTTCAAAACCCCTCCTCCCTTATTATAACACTTCATAAGGAAATCTTAGTTAGATCCCCTTCTTACGGATCGCTACATAATAGTGAACGGCCCCTATATTTGATATGACATTTTCAATATTTTTTATATTGTAGACGCATAATAAAACTCCTCACTGATCTCAGCACTATCATATGCTGAAATAAATAAATTGAACGACCAACGACTCACACAACTAGAGAATAAATAACTTACGCCAAACCATTGAATTAAAATTCATATATGTAATTCAATGGTCGCGCGCTACAATTTAAATTAGTTTAATTTAGTTTTCAAAATTTTAGGCCTACATAATGTACTACATAACTTTATGTATTACAACATAATTATGATTTTCTAATATTATCTTGCTGAAGATATATATCATTTATATTCATTATTTATAATCTATGATCTTTACTTACCAATTTTTGAACACGCCCACATCAGGCCACTTCTGTTTGAAAAATTTTTGCGCGAAAATTGTAGTGTTTAAACTGCTTTTAAAATAAACAATCATAAAATATTAATAAATTAATATTGTTTAATTAATTATGGAATATAAACATAAATCGGGCTCACAAAAGCGGAAGGAAAAAGCTACTGCTTTGGAAAACGACAAAATCGGTAGTCGTTCGTTATTTCAATTCGGAATCATTAAAGAAAAAAACAAAACAAAGACAGCCGTAAATTTTCCTACTTCGGCTGAGTCTCCTGACTGTCCGGTAGGGCTAGAATTTTCAGAATCAGAATTGGATGAAAATGGAAATAGCGATATCCAAACTCAAAATAATGACAGTGTAAATATAATAAAAGATAATGATGCCTCTGTAAACATAGAAACTGTTGAAAGATTTGGATTTGACGTTGGTACTTTGCCAGCCGGGCCAATACCCACACAGACTATAGAAACCGTGATTCGAAACGGTCCACCTAGACACCCGGACAATTTTCCGGGAGATGGACAAAGAGCTTTTCCGACGTGCATCTTAAAGGTGTCCAGACAAAATGGAGATGTGTTTGTGAAAGGGATTGGTTGGTATGGAGTAAAGAAAAAGAATCCGTTTTGTTTCCCATGTAGATTATTTAGTGAAATTGCCGTATCTTGCAGATCAATTTTGTCAAGTGATCAAGGATGGTCAAAACTAAAAACATGGCGTAAAGTGTACGATAAAATACCAGCTCATGAAAAAAGTGACGGTCATAAAAAATGTTATATAAAGTGGCGCGATTCAGAAAGAAGATTTCTCTTTGGAAAGAATATAGAGTCTCAGATTGATAAAGAAATTGCTACAAAAGTAAAATACTGGAAAGAATTGCTTAAACGAATTTTAGCAGTGGTTTTATTTTTTGGTGAATAAGGACTTGCATTCAGAGGTTCTTCCAACAAAATTGATGACCATGATAATGGAAATTTCCTTGGGATTATAGAACTGTTAGCTCAGTTTGATCCGTTTTTACAAGAGCATGTTTCTAAAGTTCAAAAATCTCAAAAACTTGGACAACGCCTTCAGGTTCATTACTTATCAGCAGATTCTCAAAATGACTTTATCGAAGCATGCAGCTCAAAAGTTATTCAAGAAATTTTGGCAGAGAGAGAAAGGTCTAAGTATTTTTCAATTATGGTAGATGCTACACCAGATTGTTCTCATACAGAACAAAGTACTTTCATTCTGAGATATGTACAAAACTGCAACTCAACATTTTCGGTCAAAGAACGTTTTCTTGCATTTGTTGATTATAACAAAAAAACTGGCCAGGATGTTGCAGATATGATCAAATATGAACTGGAGAAAAACAAAATTTCTCTGGATGACTGTCGAGGTCAGGGATACGACAACGGCTCAAATATGGCAGGAAAGTTCAAAGGAGCACAAGCAATCATTGCACATGCATATCCTCTAGCGAAATTTTCAAATTGTGGCGCCCATAGTTTAAATTTGTGCGGTATGCATGCAGCAGAATGTTGCAATGACGTTATAACTTTTTTTGGAATAGTTCAAAAGTTGTACAATTTCTGAGAGATTAACTGGATGCTTACGGCATAATCTTTCTCAAACTAGATGGTCGGCACGTGTGGAAAGTGTGAAACCGATTGCGAAGCACCTGCCAATTATCAAACATGCTATTATTAAATGTAAAGAATTAAATTTGTCATCAGAAAGTAAGACTGAATTGCAAGGAATTGAGCGTTATATGGAATCATTCAAGTGTGTTTTAATGGCTACAATATGGCTCAAAGTTTTAGTTGATATAAACAATCGAAACAAAATTATTCAAGCCAGAGAAGCCACATTGGATGTAGAAGTAGAAAACATCGACATTCTTCTTGGGGAACTGAAGGATCTACGTGAAAAATGGGACTTATTGCTAGCAGAAGCCAAAATAACAGCAGAAACTATGTCGTCGGATATTTCATGTGAAACAGAACTTCCAGAAAAACGCCAAAAACGACGAAAACGTTTTTATGATGAAAATCAACATATGCCAGAAGAAAGTGCACAACATGAAGTGGATGATGATTTTAAAGTGAACGTTTTCTATAAACTTATCGATAGTATAATATCTGGTTTAACAGAGCGTTTCCATATGGCTAGAAATATTAACAATTCTTTCAATTTTTTGTGGTTATTTACAGAACTTGGAGAAAGTGATCTGGAAAAGAAATGTTCTAATTTCTGCAAAGAATATGACAAAGATGTCAGCAGTGACTTAATTAATGAAGTGAAATGTCTAAAATCAATTTATTCGGATACCATACAGAGTGAAAATCTTCATCCCATAAAACTGCTGAATAAAATTTATCAGTTGAAATTGGAATCTATATTTCCAAATATTGCTATTGCCTTACGAATCTTTTGTACAATTCCTGTAACTGTAGCAGAAGCTGAAAGGACATTCAGCAAGCTGAAGCAAATAAAAAGTGTGCAGCGGTCAACTGTGAAACAAGAACGATTGAACGGTCTTGCGACTTTGGCGATTGAACATGATTTGGCAAAGTTATTGAATTTTGATGATGTTATTAACAATTTTGCCTTAGCCAAATCAAGGAGAGTTTGTTTCTAAAACAATAAATACCGATTTGTTACATTTGGATATTTAATTTAAAAAGTAAACTTTAATGTTTTTTTTTTTCAAATAAAAACTGAATAAAACTATACTTTGTTTTTGTTGGCTATATCGGTCAATCTTAAATTATAAATAATAAGGTACAAGTAGTATACGTATATGATATGCGAATTTTTTTGAATGTCATGTAACCTAAAATAAGATACTTTAGAGGTTTATCTTCCGCGGTCATCGGGGGGCCCGTCACAGTCCAGCCTAGGGGCCCGAAATTTCTGTCGGCGGGCCTGAGTGCACAGAGGCGTAGGAAGAATAACACACATGTGATTTTTTTTATGCGGCTCTGAAAAACGCAAAATCTCTCACACTTTAATCTACACTTGAGTTAAACTTCTGTGGTGCCACAAATGCCGAGATATCCACGCGACACGTCGCACATCTGCATCGAACATGCACGCTCAAGTTCCGCAGTAGGTACACACGCATCGCGTACAATGGTCTGTGAGTTTTTCAATGTTGGGACCAGGTCAACCCACAACTGCCTGAGACATGGCACTTCAACCGACTGAGCTAACTTGCCGGCCAAAAATGTTACAGAAGTTTAAAAGTAAATAAATGAAAAAAAATCGATAAATTAGTGATTCACTTCATGGTTTCACAAGAAAGTTTATATTTTGTACTCGTTCGATTAGCATTAAATAATATTAAAAAAAGCATTCAATGCCTCATTTATATATTTCTAAACATGGGCAAGCTTAAATTGTAAATTATTTTGTAAAGTTAATAAATAAGAAATATATAATTAGGTGCTTGTAACTTTTGTGGAAACAAATTCAAGTTTTAAATGAAAAATTTCATTTCAACTTCTAACTGTAAAAAGATTACTTGAAAAAATCATAGTTCTATAGGTAGTAATATAAAATAAAAAAATATTGCTTGAGAAGCATGCTTATTTTAAACTATACAACCAAAAATAAAATCAATATCGTATAATGAGAACGTGGCATTTACGTATTCCTACCAAAACCAAATGCAAACAAAATACCCCGCAATCATGAAAATGTTCGAATTTTTATGATTTTAAATACTGATTAGCAATCGACGTCTGGCGAGCACGCCACTGCTGTCCTGAAGACAAAAAATGTCAGATTCAGGACGGCGGCCACTAACGATGAAGCATCATCGCCAACATTTCCAACCTACATACAAGAGATACATATACAAGGTTTGTATCGAACACTTCCAATCTATATACAAGAGATACATATACAAGGTTTCTATCGAACACTTCCAATCTATATACAAGAGATACATATACAAGGTTTCTATCGAACACTTCCAATCTAGATACAAGAGATACATATACAAGGTTTGTATCGAACACTTCCAATCTAGATACAAGAGATACATATACAAGGTTTGTATCGAACACTTCCAATCTATATACAAGAGATACATATACAAGGTTTCTATCGAACACTTCCAATCTAGATACAAGAGATACATATACAAGGTTTGTATCGAACACTTCCAATCTATATACAAGAGATACATATACAAGGTTTCTATCGAACACTTCCAATCTATATACAAGAGATACATATACAAGGTTTGTATCGAACACTTCCAATCTAGATACAAGAGATACATATACAAGGTTTGTATTGAACACTTCCAATCTATATACAAGAGATACATATACAAGGTTTGTATCGAACACTTCCAATCTATATACAAGAGATACATATACAAGGTTTGTATCGAACACTTCCAATCTAGATACAAGAGATACATATACAAGGTTTGTATTGAACACTTCCAATCTATATACAAGAGATACATATACAAGGTTTTATCGAACACTTCCAATCTATATACAAGAGATACATATACAAGGTTTGTATCGAACACTTCCAATCTATATACAAGAGATACATATACAAGGTTTGTATCGAACACTTCCAATCTATATACAAGAGATACATATACAAGGTTTGTATCGAACACTTCCAATCTATATACAAGAGATACATATACAAGGTTTGTATTGAACACTTCCAATCTAGATACAAGAGATAGGGGAGATGGGGGCTCATTGATCTCTGGGGCACATTGATCTTTAAGCAATAACATAGCTATTTCTAAATATAAATGTAGGCCATCACTATTTTAGTTTTCCTTTTGTTTCTATTCTACTTTTAATCCTATTTGTTTATGGACTTTCTGCCGCTGAAGTTCGAAAAATTAGTAAGTTTGATTTTACAGGGAAAAACCAACTATTCACAACAGGTTAGTTTTGTAAATTAAAAATCAGATAAATATTTGTTTGATAAATTAAATTTTGCAATGTGTAAAGATATGTCAGAGGCTTATTTTATTATTTAGTTCGATTTTCAATCACAACTTATTGATGAGATATCGCCATTATAGTGTGCTCCATGCCATGGGGGCTCCTTGATCTGTACTAGTAAGGGGTACGTTGATCTGAAGATCAAAGTGCCCCTACTGTCCTCAGATAATAATTCTCCAGGATGTTTAGTCATTTTTCTCTAACCATGCAAAATGCTATTTTTCCATTATTGTAAAATGTAATTTGTGTACTTTGCAGGTTTGGTTTCATAATGGTGAGATATCGGGAGCGAAAAACTAATCGAGGTAAAACACCTGTTGAAGTGATGAGAACAGCAGTTGATGAAGTTCTGAAAAAGAACAGAGCTATCAATGCTGTTGCACGTGAAACTGGAATTGACCGAATGACATTGAAGCGATATGTTCGGAAGAGTAGTCTCAGTCCAAGTGTAGGTTTGATACCGAATTGGAATACAAGGCAGGTATTCAATTTAGAACAAGAAGAGATGCTTGCAAAGTATTTGCTGCAAGCATCTAAGATGAACTATGGACTATCCACCAAAACAACTCGCCAGTTCGCATATGATATGGCCGTTGCGAATAATATAACATGCCCATCTTCATGGTCAATGAAAAAAACTGCTGGTATTGATTGGCTCCAGGGTTTTATGAAAAGAAGACCCGAGTTGTCACTACGTGCAGCTGAAGCGACTAGTCTGGCAAGAGCAACAGCATTCAATAAATATAATGTCAGTGAATTCTTCAAAAATCTTCACAAGGTTCGTGCAAGGCATAACTTTGGTCCGGAGAACATATACAATGTAGATGAAACTGGACTCACAACTGTGCAAAAGCCTGTTAAAGTTATAGCCGGTCGAGGATTGAAACAAGTCGGAAGGATGACATCTCAGGAAAGAGGGAAATTAATTACAGTATGCTGTGCTATAAATGCAATTGGTAATTCCATACCACCTTTGTTTATTTTTCCTCGTGTCAACTTCAAAGAGTTCATGATAAGAGATGGTCCTCGAGGTTGTGTCGGATTTGCAAATCCATCTGGTTGGATGAGTTCTGACATTTTTGTGGAGTGGTTGAAACATTTCATAAAACACTCAAAGGCTTCATTTGACTACCCTACTTTACTGTTATTGGATAACCATGAAAGCCATATATCAGTTGCGGCTTTAGATGTTGCAAAATCACATGGTATTATAATGCTCAGCTTTCCACCCCACTGCAGCCACAAATTGCAGCCTTTAGATAGAGCCGTGTTTGGTCCTCTGAAGAAATACTACAATACGACTTGTGACAACTGGATGGTCAGTAACCCAAGACCACTGACAATATATGATATTGTACCAATTGTTCGGGAAGCATATACTAAAGCTTTTGCAAAATCGAATATAGAATCTGGATTCCGAATCGCTGGCATAGAACCTTACAATCCGGACATTTTTACAGATGATGATTTTTTAGCAGCATCGGTTACAGATCGCCATACACCTGCTACAGAAATGGACACAGACAACAGTGCTTATGGAGTAACAGCTACATCCAATAATGTGGAGCCATCACAAATGGTTCTAGCTGATGATGGAGAACCAGAACAAATGACTTCAAATCCACAAGTTTGTCAAAAAAAATTACTATTTCTTAAATATTTTAAAAATTCTTGTCTGATGCTTAAATATAGCAAAACAGAATATTTTTTTACAGACTGATGATGTTAACATGGTTCAATCTAATATTCACTTTCCAATATCACCAGAAGTGTTGAAACCATTTCCAAAGGCTTCAGCCAGAAAAAAGCTATTTCGGAACAGGCAACAAAAAACAAGAATTTTAACTGACACTCCAGTTAAACATGAAATTTTTCTTGCAAAAGAAAAAAGTGTGAATAAAAAAAAACGAACATCCGATACAGTAAAAAAAACAAAAGCCATGTCAAGCGTTGATTATCTTGGAACACTAGAAAGTGATGACAGTGATGGTGATGCAAGCAATCCTCAGTTGACAGCAGAAGGCCCAAGTCTGGACTACGACTGTTCTGCATTAAAAAATAATGGCTATGTTGTAGTAAAATTTAAAACTAAAAAGAAAGTTATTCATTACATTGGCCAAATAATATCGGAAGCTGGAGATTTAATGGTAAAATACTTGAAAAGGGAAAAGATGTCATCATTCAACTTTATCTGTAGAAATGCTGAATTATATCAATTTATAAAAGAGGACATTGTTTGTAAAGTTCCAGATCCAATTCAGCATGGTGGGACTGCTCGAGTCAGTCGTCACTTGGTTTTTCCCGTTGATTTGACAATTTTTAAAGATCTTAATTAATGTTAATTTTTATTAAAAATTATGAATTATTATATCCAATGTGTTTTAACGAGTTTTTTGGAGGCAAATGAACATCAAATCATATTGATTTATACCTAGGATCAATGTACCCCATGGGAGGGATCATGGTACCCCGTATATGGGGTGCTTTGATCCTTTGTAGGGGTTGTACCAAAGTTAAATTTTTTTAAAAATTTCTTGTATTATACAATTGAAACTGAACTTAATACATTAAATGAATGTTCCTCTGTAAATTGCACAAATATTAATATTCACTTTTTGGTTAGTTTCACTGTTGTTACAAAAAAACCTCAAAACAGATCAATGTGCCCCCATCTCCCCTACATATACAAGGTTTGTATCGAACACTTCCAATCTATATACAAGAGATACATATACAAGGTTTGTATCGAACACTTCCAATCTAGGTACAAGAGATACATATACAAGGTTTGTATCGGACACTGATAAAGACAAAGTGTTGTCAAAATATAAAGTTTATGTTGTTTTGTAGTGCTGACAATATAAATCGACAACATAAAAATTAATGAAAATTTTATTTGCTAACCTAACAAACTTAAAAGAAAACAGAAAGCTGAAAACTCAATTGCAAACCGAACTACAACTATAATGCTGTGTCATTTTTAAATAACCGTGTATCGGATAGTCTCACTGCTATATTTCTTCCTCACACACACACACACACACACACGCACACACACACACACACACACACATTTATATATATACGTGACAAACGCATCAACATTTTATTAGAAAGCCACTGGCATAACCTCAGTGTCTCCTTGTGTTGAATGTCATTCCTCCTACCTTTGTGACGGTCGTGCATCAACTCTGCCTCATAACCGAGGTCCTATTGTTAACGTTGGGTGATCGGCATTCATCGTATCGTCCACCTCCAGCAGTCAGCACCACGTTGTTATTAAACATCACTATCCAGTAATCAATCATCACCATCCAGTAACCAATCATCACCATCCAGTAATCAATCATCACCATCCAGTAATCAATCATCACCATCCAGTAATCAATCATCACCATCCAGTAATCAATCATCACCATCCAGTAATCAATCATCACCATTCAGTAATCAATCATCATCATCAGCATCATCATTTATTGGATTTTTTAAAACTATTAACTCGTCGTGATCTGTAATGAACCAAAAAATGTCTTCGCTGTTGATTCAGGTTTGTAATAATAGTAATAAAAAATAAGTAAGACTAATAAGTAGAAATGTAGTAACTATCCAACAATCATAATCAACTCCTTCCTTTCAGATATATATATACATATATCATTTCACCCCCATCATCAACAACATCTGTCGATCGACTCATTCATCATCACGCACCTCATTTCCAATATTTTCATCATTCAATCATTCAACAGCATCATCAACAATAACAACGTCATCGTCAATTTTATGCACCTGGACATACTCATCGACCCCAGCATTTTGACTGCTAACATATTATGGATCCATTCATTCATTCATTCCTGCTTTTGTTCGTCCATTTATTCATGCATAGCTCAGGCATTCATTCATTCATTCTATGTATGTACATTTCTTTGCCTACCTTCATTCTTTTTTTCAATCAATTATTCATTCATTGATTTAATAACCGATTGATATATCTATCTACTTATCAATCAATTAATAAATCTTTTTTTTAATTCAATCATCTGTTCAGACAAAAACTAAAAACTTCACGTTTCTAAAAGTACAGACACTGACGATGATAAAAATGATGATGATAACGACTGTGATGACGAGCACTGATGAAGGAATGAATTTGTGAGTGAACAGATGAATGAAAGATTGAATTAAAAACTAATAAGTGAATGTATGTATGAATGAATTAATTAATTAATCAATAAATTAAACAGAGGGTGGACAAGTGGGCAAACTAGAGTTTAAATCAGCAATCAATGACTATAAAAGTTGACTACATGACTAACATAGATTAGGAACAAATAAATAATGGCTTGAAACAAATAAGTATAAACTTGAAACAAATAAAAATAAACTTGAAACAAATAAAAATTAGCTTGAAACAAATGAAAATTGGCTTGAAACAAATAAATATTAGCCTAAAACAAATAAATATGAACTTGAAACAAAAAAATATAAACTTGAAACAAATAAATACTGGATTAAAACAAATAAATATTAACTTTAAATAAATAAATATTGACTTGAAACAAAAACAAACATGGACTTGCAAAATAAACAGCTTTTATTGTACTAACCAACCAATCAATCAACAACAACAACCAGCAACCAACGACAACCAACCCACAAACAACACCAGATCAACAGCCACTGCAGCCAATAACCTGGATATGATTGATTATATATCGAGGCCCGGTGACCTCAGCATCGAAGGAGACGTGTGCCATGTTGTTCGGGAGAGACACATGCACCTCCCTGATGCCCTCTTTCTTCAACAAACTGTCCTCGATGAAACTCACGCACGATCCACATGTCATGCCAGTTATCTGAGCAGTCGGTTTGATCATCATCGTCGTCTTCATCATCATCATGTCATCATCACCTTATGATGGCTTATATCGCCGAATTAAATCATTCGATGCAGCACACATTCAATTTATCGATTAGTAAATATCATCATATAACTTCATTATATCTCTTTAGAATGTTAATTAAATCACCATTTTTACTTACGTAATTAACACTTATAAATATTCACAATAAAAAATTATAAATTATGAAGAAAACTTTAAATGGCAGAATGGCAGTAACTAACGATGACGTCTATACTTGTCAGACCCCCTTCACTTTCGCCAGCCAACGTGGCCTCATACCCACTGGAATCAATGAGGTCAACAATTTGGGAAGGAGATACCAAGTTGGGGTCATAGGCCACTTCTGCTTTCCCTCCCAACAATGTAACAGCCACCTCAGAAATTCCTAGAACATGTCAATGTATATATGTTATTAAAAAATAAATAAACATCGGGTAGAAATCTATTTTAAAATTTTAAATAAATAATAGAAACGTCGATATTTGTTACCCTGTTTTGAAGATAAGATGTTTTCAATGTTAGCCACGCAGGAACTGCAAGTCATGCCAGCAATATGCAGGCTGCATTTTTTAATAGCAGCATTTCTTTCTGTTCCCATCATGTTTATGGCGTCAACTAAAATGATAACGTGGGTTCATATAATTATAAGTTTATTTATCAGTTCGGATAATAATTAATTAGTCTGACATGAAAACATTAATATAAGGCTTGAAATAACATGTTTTTAGTTTGCCAAAACAAAAATCATGGTGTTGTTCATAAAATATTAAACTCTATTATAAATTATATTTAATAACCAAAAATATTACACAATCCAAATAAATGGATTTGGTTTTTTTTTCAAATACATTTTATAAAATGCACTTTTATTTTATCATTACTTATTTATAATTTTAGAGTTAAATTATAATTATATAATATAATTGTTACATTGAACTGATCTTGTCATTCATCTAGCCAGAATGAAATAAAAATGACTGCAAAGCATTAACAAAAAAAATGAAATGAATAAATAATAAACAAGCAAATTAAAGTTATATGTAGTAATTAGTTAATAGTTTTTAAGACTTACTTTATCTGAAACAAAAATCAAGTGAATTCAATCAATCAATCAATCAATGGCATTGTATGCAGCTCCTTCATTCACTTGAACAGCAGTGATGATGGATGGCAATCAGTACAGTACAGTCAGTCGGTCACTGGTAGTTTTTGTTTTATATTTTATTAAAATTAAATTAAGACAATTAAGTTAAAAAGTTAAAAAAAAGTTATCCTCAGCTTCTTGCTTAATATTTTTCTTATCAGTAATCTACTATTTTAATACTTATTATCAGATTATTATTTATTTTATATTTTATATCTCAATTAATTAATTTTATGATCTAAATCTCTATTCCTCAGTAACGAAACTGTAGTTTGTTAATTAGACTAGATTAGAATAGTTGAGTTGCACTCGTTCAACATTTATTAATTTACTATACTGTAGCAGAACAGCACCGTAGATTTATAATAAATAATATCATATTCAAATTCATCACCACAACTCACAAGACAAGACGAAGGTAATGTTCGCGACGGTTTTAACTCAGCGACGATTAAACATATGTAAAAGGCGGATTATGAAAAACCGATTAAATAATAAATATTTAAAGGTTTAATGAAATGAAAAAAAATTTATTATTTTTGTTTTTTATTTGTTATTTATAACATTTTAACTTTATTCAAATTAAAAATTGCATAAAACAGTAAAAAAAACTTCATCATAAAATCACTATATATTAAGATACCAACGATAAGGAGAAAGTTAAAAAATCGCCAAAAATTTATTTATGTATGCATCTGAAATATATTTGCATGTTTTGATAAAAATTTTATTTATAAAAATACCATATATAACAAAACTTTCTCCCGTTTTGTGCACATTTTCAAAAATTCGATTGAACGCGTTAACCCTACTTTTCCAAATTTGCGTCATCGGTAACGAGAAAGTTAAAAAATCGCCAAAAATCCATTTATGTGTGCATCTAGAAAATATTTGCATATTCTAATAGAAAATTTTATTCCCAAAAATAACATATATAACAAAGCTATCTCCCGTTTTGTGCACATTCTCAAAAATTTGATTGAACGCGTTAACCCTACATTTCCAAATTTGCGTCATCGGTAACGAGAAAGTTACAAAATCGCCAAAAATCCATTTATGTGTGCATCTGGAAAATATTTGCATATTCTAATAGACAATTTTATTCCCAAAAATAACATATATAACAAAGCTATCTCCCTTTTTGTGCACATTCTCAAAAATTCGATAGAACGCGTTAACCATACTTTTCCAAATTTGCGTCATCGGTAACGAGAAAGTTACAAAATCGCCAAAAATCCATTTATGTGTGCATCTGGAAAATATTTCCATATTCTAATAGACAATTTAATTCCCAAAAATAACATATATAACAAAGCTATCTCCCGTTTTGTGCACATTCTCAAAAATTTGATAGAACGCGTTAACCATACTTTTCTATATTTGCGTCAACGGTAACCTTGGTACACCTCTTCTTCAACTGCACTACTTAATAGATGCACCGTGCAACTAATAATAATCAATTATTGACATTATATACGTTTCAGTTCAATTATACACGTTTAATTACATTTCTATTTCCATGTTAAGAAACCACGTTTTTCATTTCTATGTTGGCCATTTTGTTACTTGCTGTCAAGGTTAAATTTATAAAACTGTTCGAGCAATGTCTATTTCGTTGTTTGGCGACAGTTATGTGCGTAGAATGGAATTTTTTTTAAAAATGAAAAATGACGTTATTACCCACGGTAATAAACGTGTCTTATTAAAAGGAAAGCCTGGTGGGAGGATCGGAGGATTGATTAACATCTTCCGGAAGCATACCATTCCTATTGAAACAATAATCCTTTACATCGGAGGTTGATTCATTTGTTTAATAAATAGTTTAATGTTGGTTCATTATTCTTTTAATATAATAACAGTTTTGTTTAATTTTTAGTCATTAAAATTAAATACCAGGCAATGATTTGACGACTGAAACCCCGGAACTCGTGGCCGCAAGATATGAATCCTTACTCAGACTGTTAGAGAACAAAATCAGACCGCGCCGAATAATCATATTAAGTCTGGTTTATAGAAAAGACGTTCAGAAATGGAAAGTTGATAAACTAAATGTTTCATTGAAACAATTCCAGTCTAACATTGTTCATTTCTGGAAGCTTGACAGAGTGGGAGGAGGTAATAATATAGGACCTGACGGCATCCACCTAAATGAACGTGGAATGATGAACTTTAAGAGGAACATCATTTATTCTCTAAAGTGCACGAAATAAATTTTTAACGTTTTTATTTGTAATAAAAAGTTTATAAAAAAGTATGCATTGTTGTTTAATATATCTTTGTATATATATATTATATATGTACCTATATATCCATTTTTTTTATATAAATGTGTTTGTGTGTGTGGTATGACTTAATTACTCACTTACTAAAACATTTATAACTTTTTTTATTTAACGTTAAAAAAAATTGCGGTTTCAAAATGTAACAAACAAATGTCATAAACAAACCCCAATATCGAAGTTGATTGATACACAGGTTGGGGTTGAATGTTATTAGCATCAAATATCATTACAACGAAAAAGAAAGTTATTAAATATTCACCATAAAGGTTAAAGGTTTCTCTCTCTTTTGCGTTTGCTTCAGAGGTTTCAACAACAAACACACACAACGTATATGAATACGCGTGCAAACCACGTATCATACACATTGCATATGATAGGCGGGGATCTCTTTGTATTCGAACCCAGTCAATGCAATAGCAAGACCAGGCGCCTTTAATCATTGAGCCATCACGCCATAGTTATGACAAATGAATACTTGGTTTCGTCGTTTTCAGGTTTAACTGATTTGAAATAACAGGACTACTCTTTCGCTATTTCCTGTTCCAAAATAACATTAAAAAGTTGTCGATTACGTTGAGCTGTTAACAATGGACAAATGCCTCCATTTGACAAATTGATGTGACGCAGCATCAGAAAAATAAAACTATTGACGAGCAACGTCCTGGATTGAACGTGCTGTTTCACTGACGGTATTTAATGCCGAAACATAAAAATCTGGATCGACGCTAATCCGGTCCGTTTTGAGATGTAATTTGTATGTCACTTTGGGCCAAAAAACAATGAAGGAAGTTGAGTCATCAACTACCACTACGTGTGAAATTAAAACAATTTATATTAGTATAAATTGTTTAAACTAGAGTTTAAACATGCAGAATAATTTTAAAAGTATTTTTTTTAATTTTATTCCGTTTCAAAACATAATCTGAAAAACATCTAAAATTTTAAAAAGTCAAAAAGTACAATAACGGTATTCTATTCTGGTATTGCCATTTTGTGTTAATCAAATTATAAACTATACTACAAGCAAAAGCAGGAATGACGTTGTAACACAACAGATACAGGAAACTTCAAAACTGTGGTGCACTTAGGTTGTTTGCGAGATAATAACAAGGACCAAAAACTTCCATAATTAAGTCCAATACTTCTTTGCAGTTCCTGTTTAATTCACCGAGTTCATTAAAATTAATTTATAAATCAAAGTGTAACACAATTTTAAAATATTCGATAATATACTGTACAATTTTTAAATTGTATTATGATGTCAACAAAATAATATATAGAATCTTATACTATGCACCTGCGTCTCGAACCGTTATTTTCGTTACCAATCGACAGAGATTTAAAAATAATAACGGTAAAAAATATCTCGTATCGTTATGAAACGATACGAAAAATCTCGTATCCTTTAATAACAATACCAGAGATCTCCTATCGTTATTTAAACAAGACATTTTTAGGAAAGTCTATCATATCGAAATAAAAAATAAAAGACACAATTTTCGTCTCGTACCATTATTTCAATGTGTGGAAATGGTAAAAGTGCACATTGTAAAAAAATAAAGTGTTATAAAATATTAAAACTTATTTAATTTTTTCCAATTGAATGACTTTGGTTTAATAAAGACTCTAAAAATATCGTATCGTTATTAAAACGAGACATTCTCCAAAAGGTCTCGTATCAAATAAAAAATACGAACAAAACAAACTTTTCTTTAATTTTTAATTGAATGGCTGTTTTCTGGGCGAAATGACTGTGCGGCGTGATGGTCTAATGGTTAAGGTCGCCTGGTGCTGTTTCGCAGTAACCGGGTTCGAATGTGACAAAAATATCCCCACGTATCATATGCTTCGTGTGTAATGCGTCGTTTAGCACGATGTTCATTTACGATGTTTTGCACTCTGTTGAATCCTCTGAACTTTGGAAGAGTGTAATTGACCTTTAACTTTTTTCTGTTTTAATACAGTACATTTGA